TTTAGGTCCATTTGATGTTCCTCCCTTGGATTGAGACCGTTTCACTCATTTTTCCTCATAGTCATGTGTAGAAACTATTAATCCATGTTTGGGTTAGTATGGGTCCATCTAGTTCATCTTATACACTACAAGTGAGTTTCCTAAATGTGGAGTCACAGAGGTACATTTCGGACTCCTTACCTCTTCTGGTTCCAAATTAGGTCCATTTGATTTTCCTCCCTTGGATTGAGACCGTTTCACTCATGTTTGTCCTCATGGTCATGTGTAGAACCTATTAATCCATGTTTGGGTAAGTATGGGTCCATCTAGTTCATCTTATCACTACAAGTGAGTTTCCACAATGTGGAGTCACAGAGGTACATTTCGGACTCCTTACCTCTTCCGGTTCCCAAATTGTCCATTTGATGTTCCTCCCTTGATTGAGATTTCACTCATGTTTGTCCTCATGTCATGTGGAGAACCTATTAATCCATGTTTGGGTAAGTATGGGTCCATCTAGTTCATCTTATACACTACAAGTGAGTTTCCACAATGTGGAGTCACAGAGTACATTTCGGACTCCTTACCTCTTCCGGTTCCCAAATTAGGTCCATTTGATGTTCCTCCCTTGGATTGAGACCGTTTCACTCATGTTTGTCCTCATAGTCATGTGTAGAAGCTATTAATCCATGTTTGGATATGGGTCCATCTAGTTCATCTTATACACTACAAGTGAGTTTCCTACAATGTGGAGCACACAGAGGTACATTTCGGACTCCTTACCTCTTCCGGTTCCCAAATTAGGTCCATTTGATGTTCCTCCCTTGGATTGAGACCGTTTCACTCATGTTTGTCCTCATAGTCATGTGTAGAACCTATTAATCCATGTTTGGAAGTATGGGTCCATCTAGTTCATCTTATACACTACAAGTGAGTTTCCTACAATGTGGAGTCACAGAGGTACATTTCGGACTCCTTACCTCTTCTGGTTCCCAAATTAGGTCCATTTGATGTTCCTCCCTTGGATTGAGACCGTTTCACTCATGTTTGTCCTCATAGTCATGTGTAGAACCTATTAATCCATGTTTGGGTAAGTATGGGTCCATCTAGTTCATCTTATACACTACAAGTGAGTTTCCACAATGTGGAGGCACAAGGTACATTTCGGACTCCTTACCTCTTCCGGTTCCCAAATTTGGTCCATTTGATGTTCCTCCCTTGGATTGAGACCGTTTCACTCATGTTTGTCCTCATATCATGTGTAGAACCTATTAATCCATGTTTGGTAAGTATGGGTCCATCTAGTTCATCTTATACACTACAAGTGAGTTTCCTCAATGTGGAGTCACAGAGGTACATTTCGGACTCCTTACCTCTTCCGGTTCCCAAATTAGGTCCATTTGATGTTCCTCCCTTGGATTGAGACCGTTTCACTCATGTTTGTCCTCATAGTCATGTGTAGAAGCTATTAATCCATGTTTGGTAAGTATGGGTCCATCTAGTTCATTTATACACTACAAGTGAGTTTCCACAATGTGGAGGCACAGAGGTACATTTCGGACTCCTTACCTCTTCCGGTTCCCAAATTAGGTCCATTTGATGTTCCTTCCTTGGATTGAGACAGTTTCACTCATGTTTTCCTCATAGTCATGTGTAGAACCTATTAATCCATGTTTGGATAAGTATGGGTCCATCTAGTTCATCTTATACACTACAAGTGAGTTTCTACAATGTGGAGTCACAGATGTACATTTCGGACTCCTTACCTCTTCTGGTTCCCAAATTAGGTCCATTTGATGTTCCTCCCTTGGATTGAGACCGTTTCACTCATGTTTGTCCTCATAGTCATGTGTAGAACTATTAATCCATGTTTGGTAAGTATGGGTCCATCTAGTTCATCTTATACACTACAAGTGAGTTTCCACAATGTGGAGCACACAAGTACATTTCGGACTCCTTACCTCTTCTGGTTCCCAAATTAGGTCCATTTGATGTTCCTCCCTTGGATTGAGACCGTTTCACTCATGTTTGTCCTCATAGTCATGTGTAGAACCTATTAATCCATGTTTGGTAAGTATGGGTCCATCTAGTTCATCTTATACACTACAAGTGAGTTTCCACAATGTGGAGGCACAGAGGTACATTTCGGACTCCTTACCTCTTCCGGTTCCCAAATTTGGTCCATTTGATGTTCCTCCCTTGGATTGAGACCGTTTCACTCATGTTTGTCCTCATAGTCATGTGTAGAAGCTATTAATCCATGTTTGGATAAGTATGGGTCCATCTAGTTCATCTTATACACTACAAGTGAGTTTCCACAATGTGGAGTCACAGAGGTACATTTCGGACTCCTTACCTCTTCCGGTTCCCAAATTAGGTCCATTTGATGTTCCTCCCTTGGATTGAGACCGTTTCACTCATGTTTGTCCTCATAGTCATGTGTAGAACCTATTAATCCATGTTTGGTATGTATGGGTCCATCTAGTTCATCTTATACACTACAAGTGAGTTTCCACAATGTGGAGTCACAGAGGTACATTTCGGACTCCTTACCTCTTCCGGTTCCCAAATTAGGTCCATTTGATGTTCCTCCCTTGGATTGAGACCGTTTCACTCATGTTTGTCCTCATAGTCATGTGTAGAACCTATTAATCCATGTTTGGATAAGTATGGGTCCATCTAGTCATCTTATACACTACAAGTGAGTTTCCACAATGTTGAGGCACAGAGGTTAGCTAGGATTGAGAAGCTCAATATCAAGAGATACCTTGATACAAGTTTTGAGAGCAAGATCGATTAAGTATAGCCTTCCTCTGATTGTTAAACCCTGTCTTGACCCTAATTTTCGTTCTAGCTTGTTAAAGTCGCTGCCTTTACTGCTTTTTCTTCAACTCGACCCTAAACTCGATCGAGCTCGGTACTCTGTTCCAACTCGACTCGAGTCCTTGGTCGAGCTGTTGCTCTACTGCTTTTACTTTTATTTATTTCTGCATTGCATTTCATTTGTTAGGTTGTTAGTGTTACCCAAATCTATTACTGCTTGCTTGACTTTCTTGTGTTTCATATTCTCAAAGAGTGCAAGTTTCCCATTTTGGATTGATAACCTCTTATATTTATCAACTATCATATGATAAGGTTGAAATTGTTGACTATGATTTAAGAGGAATTGATTGATTGTGACTGCACCATTTCATCTTTATTCACCCCTGTTTGCATTCCACCACATATCTTATCATTTCATTCATATCACTTCATCCACGCAAAATCCTATCATCAATTTGGCGCCGTTGCCGATTTGGGATTATTTGTTGCATTTGAGTTTCAAACACTTGGACGATCAAGCTATACCACCCTGTTCTTTGTACTGCTGGGTTTTTGTCTCTTTTTGCAGGTGTATGCGAACTCGATCGAGTCGGTCTACAGAGGACTTGGTCGAGCTAGACTTTACAACGGGTAGAAAGAGGGTTCAGAGGTCACAGAGGGTACAAGAGGAACCTGAGGTGCTTGTTGCTGATACAATGGACGTACCAGAGGGGAATGGAAACCCTTTGGGCAATGGACTCGGTCGAGCTAGGCAAACTCGACCGATTGGTCTAGGAGATGCTCCAAACCGCCACCAACAGAGACAAGGGATTGTTCCACCACCAGTGCAGAACCACAACTTTGAGATCAAGCTGGGAATGATCAACCTTGTTCAGAACAAGATGTTCCATGGATTGCCAAGTGAAGACCCCATTGACCACCTTGATGAGTTTGATAGGCTATGTGATTTGACAAAGATCAATGGTGTCTCTGAAGATGCCATCAAGCTGAGACTCTTTCCTATGTCTCTAGCTGACAAAGCTCACCAATGGGAGAAGAGTTGCCCCATGGCACAATCACCACTTGGGATGAATGCAAGAAGGCCTTTCTTGCTAAGTTTTTCTCCACCGGTCGCACAGCCAAGCTAAGGAGTGAGATATCAGCTTCATCAGAGGAACAATGAGACATTTTGGAGAGCTTGGGAGAGGTTCAAGGGATACACAAGTCAATGTCCTCACCATGGATTCAACAATGAGTCATTTATCCATACTCTTTATAGAGGATGTTTGGCAAGGCATAAGGGAGATGTTAGACACAGCCAGCAATGGGAACTTCCTCAATCAGGATGTGGAAGATGGCTGGCAACTAGTGGAGAACATCGCCCTCTCAACAGAAAGATATGGAGACAATTATGATAGCACTGACTGGAGCTCGACCGCTACTCGATCGAGCTGGAGCCAGATGAGAAAAGACTTGCACTCTCCATTCGAAGTTGACAAACTGATCCTAGCCCAATTCCCTGCCCAAGCATGTCAGCTCTATGTCTCTGAACAAACAGGCTATCAAACAGGAAGGGGAGGAGCAACAACATACAAGCACCCCTCAACCACAAGGAAAACCATCTATGGTCACACATTTTACCAGGCACCTGCGGCTTACAGACTCAATCCACACAGATCCAACCAGCAAGGGCACCTCCAAGTTTCCCACCAGGATTCCCACCAATGCCATACCCAACCACAGAGCCAAGATTGGGATATGAAAGATATGCTCCAACAACTCCTTCAAGGGCAAGCCAAAGGTTCACTGAAATGAACCACAAGTTGCTGGAAATAAACTCCAAACTGAGTCATTGACTTCAAGAGTGCAAACCATTGAGTCTTCTAGTGCATCATCCTCTTCACTCAAGAGTATGCCCAAGCAGTTACACTGAGAAGTGGGCGACAATTTCCAAGCAGAGTAGCCCACCCCAAATCGCTGTGGACATCGATGACGAGGAAGGGGAGGATTTGGTCGAGTATGACATCCCGGCACCAACTCGATCGAGCTGGAACAAAACCCTGAACCAGAACTCGATCGAGCTGGAGAAACCGAGACTCAGAAGACAAACCAGAGCTCGATCGAGCTGAGAAGAGAACAGACAAAGCAAGCTCCAGCCAACCAGCTAAACCTGTTGCAAAGAAGAAAGACACTCCAGCAGGACCACCACCATACAAACCCCCTCTGCCCTTTCCAGGAAGGTTCAAGAAACAACTGTTGGAAGCACACAAGGCCAAGTTTGATGAACTAATGAGACAGCTTGAGCTGAAGTTGCCTTTCATCGACGCCTTGATGCTCATTCCACCTTATCAGAAATTCCTGAAGGATGCTGTTCAGCAAAGAACCAGGGAAGCACAAGGGATGGTAGTGTTGACTCGTGAGTGCAGTGCAATCATTCAGCGGAAGGTCATCTCCGACAAAAAGGAAGATCCGGGGAGTTTCACTTTGCCATGCATGTTGGGACCCCTATCTTTCAAAAACAGCCTCTGCGATCTAGGATCATCTGTCAGCCTCATGCCTTTGTCTGTAGCAAAGAGACTGGGATATCACAAGTACCAAGCCTGCGGAATCTCACTAGTCTTGGCAGATAGATCGATAAGGTTACCAACTGGAATGCTTGAAGACCTGCCTTTGAGGATAGGGAATGTAGAAATCCCCACCGACTTCATTGTGCTGAGATGGATGAGGAACCAACAGATCCATTGATACTAGGAAGGCCATTCCTAGCTACAGCAAGAGCAATGATAGATGTCTGTGAAGGCACAATTGAGCTAAACTTGGGAAAGGACCTAAGGATGAAGTTTGATATCAAGGATACAATGAGGAAACCAACAATAGAAGGTCAGCTCTTTTATGTTGAGGAAATGGATCAGTTGGCAGATGAGCTTTTAGAAGAGCTATCAACAGGAGGATCCCCTACAAGTTGCTTTGACCAAGGATTCTTCAGAAGGATATGTGAGCTCAGAAACCGATGAGTACAAGAAGCTCCTTGACACCTTCAGACCAGTTCCAAACATTCTGAGCATTGAGGGGTTGGACAGGCCAGTTTGCGAAGTCATGGCAGTGAGCTCGATCAAGAGCTCGATCGAGTCGGGTTTCGAACAAACAAACTCGATCGAGCTGGGACTGAATGCAAGGAACAAGCTCAAGGAGATTGGTCTGAGCTCAAGGCGCCTAAAGTCGACCTCAAACCTTTGCCTGAGGGCCTCAGGTATGCATTTCTGGGTGAAAACTCAACTTACCCTGTCATTGTGAACTCTGATTTGGAACCTGAACAGTTGAGTGCTTTGCTTGTTGAATTGAGGAAGTACAGAAAAGCAATAGGTTACACTCTAGATGATATCAAGGGGATCTCCCCTGACCTATGCATCCATAGGATTCATCTAGAGGATGAAAGTAAGTCAAGCATTGAACCTCAAAGGAGATTGAACCCCAATCTAAAGGAAGTAGTGAAGAAAGAGATACTCAAGTTGCTTGATGCTGGGATAATCTATCCCATCAGTGATAGCACTTGGATATCTCCAGTTCATTGCGTCCCAAAGAAAGGGGGGATCACTGTCATAAAAATGACAAAGAGGAGCTGATTCCCACTAGAACAATAGTGGGGCATCGCATGTGTATTGACTATAGGAAGTTAAATTCAGCATCTAGAAAGGATCATTTCCCTCTCCCTTTCATTGATCAGATGTTAGAAAGATTAGCAAACCACCCTTTTTATTGTTTTCTTGATGGCTACAGTGGTTTCTTCCAAATCCCGATCCACCCTAATGATCAGGAGAAGACCACTTTCACATGCCCTTATGGTACCTTTGCTTATCGAAGGATGCCATTTGGGCTGTGCAATGCCCCAGCTACTTTCCAGAGATGCATGACCTCCATTTTTTCAGATCTGATAGAGGAGATGGTAGAAGTCTTCATGGACGATTTCTCAGTCTATGGAGCATCCTTCTCCTCATGTTTGTCTAACTTGTGCAGGGTGTTGCAGAGGTGTGAGGAGACAAATCTAGTACTCAACTGGGAGAAGTGCCACTTCATGGTTCGAGAAGGGATTGTGCTTGGACACAAGATTTCCGAGAAAGGGATCGAGCTCGATCGAGCTAAGGTGGATGTCATGTTGCAGCTTCCTGTTCCCAAGACTGTGAAGGACATCAGGAGTTTTCTGGGTCATGCAGGGTTCTACAGAAGATTCATCAAGGATTTCTCAAAGATAGCAAGACCCTTGACAAGGCTTCTGTGCAAGGAGACAGATTTTGAGTTTGATGAAGAATGCCACAAGTCTTGGACCTTGCTGAAGGATGCTCTGGTATCTGCCCCAATAGTTCAAGCTCCAAACTGGGATCACCCATTTGAGATTATGTGTGATGCATCTGACTATGCAGTAGGAGCAGTGCTTGGCCAAAAGATAGACAAGAAACTCAATGTCATCTACTATGCAAGCAAGACTATGGATGATGCTCAATGCAAGTATGCAACCACAGAGAAGGAGCTCCTTGCCATAGTCTTTGCCTTTGAGAAATTTCGAAGCTATATAGTTGGGTCCAAGGTGATTGTGCACACTGACCATGCTGCCCTTAGGCACATCTTCGCTAAGAAAGATACAAAGCCAAGACTTCTCAGATGGATCCTTTTGCTTCAAGAGTTTGACATAGAAGTTGTGGACAAAAAGGGAGTAGAAAATGGAGTTGCTGATCATCTCTCTAGGATGCGAGTTGAAGACATGATCCCCATCAATGATTCTATGCCTGAAGAACAGCTTATGGCAATCATGATCTTGAAGGAGAGTTTTGATGAGAAAGCCAGGCTGGAAGAAGTTAAGGCTCTGCGTGATGAGAATTTGCCATGGTATGCTGATATAGTGAACTTCATGGTGTCCGGAGAAGTCCCTAGTAGCTTTGATGCTTACAAGAGGAAGAAATTCTTCAAGGATGCTAGGCATTACTATTGGGATGAGCCTTACTTGTACAAGAGAGGACCAGACAGCATTTACAGGAGATGCATAGCTGAAGAGGATGTACAAGGAGTTCTAGAGCATTGCCATGGGTCAGCTTATGGAGGTCACTTTGCTACATTCAAAACAGCAACTAAGGTTCTGCAATCTGGTTTGTGGTGGCCTACCTTGTTTAAAGATGCAGCAAGCTACATCCAAGTGTGATCCATGCCAAAGGAAAGGAGATCACCAAGAGAGATGAAATGCCACTAAACCCAATTCTGGAAGTTGAGATCTTTGATGTATGGGGAATAGACTTCATGGGACCTTTCAAGCCTTCCTCAAACGGGCACAACTACATTCTGGTTGCTGTGGACTATGTGTCCAAATGGATTGAAGCCATCCCCTGCCCAGCCTGTGATGCTAAGGTTGTTATCAAACTGTTCAGAACCATCATCTTTCCAAGATATGGCATCCCAAGGGTTGTTATTTCGGATGGAGGTTCCCATTTCATCAACAAGGTGTTTGAGAAGTTGATGAAGAGTTATGGAGTCAAGCACAAGGTCGCTACACCTTACCACCCTCAAACCAGTGGGCAAGTTGAGGTCTCCAACAGACAGATAAAGGCCATTATTGAGAAGACTGTGAGCTTCACTAGGAAGGATTGGTCACAAGACTTGATGAAGCTCTTTGGGCTTATAGAACAGCTTACAAAACCCCCATTGGAAGGTCTCCTTTCAACTTGCTGTATGGAAAGGATTGCCACTTACCTGTGGAGGTCGATACAAGGCACTATGGGCAGTAAAGATGCTGAACTTTGATATAAAGGCTGCACAAGAGAGAAGAGTAATGAACTTGTTTGAGTTGGAGGAAATCAGAATGAATGCCTATGAGAACTCCTGATCTATAAGATGAGAACAAGGCAGCCCATGACAAACTGATTCGCCTTAAAGACTTCAAGGTTGGGGACAGTGTGCTCTTGTATAACTCCAAGCTAAGGTTGTTTCCCGGGAAGCTAAGGTCAAAGTGGGCGGGACCATTCAAGATCACGAAGTTTGCCCTATGGATCCCTCACTCTACTCAATCAAGAGGGGAAGGAATTCACAGTGAATGGGCATAGATGCAAGCCATATCTAGGAATGACCCCCACAGAGGAGATCATCACTCCTCTAGAAGATCCAACCCCGGCCTAAAAGGGGTAAGGTCAAGCTATGAGACCTAAAACAAGCTCACTTGGGAGGAATTCCCATGTCTATCTTGTACATATTTCTTTATCTTTTATCTATGATTTTCTTGGCTAAGTCTTGCAGGAGCAGGTTTTAGGAAGGAAAGGCAACTCGAGGCACAACTCGATCGAGAGAGCAAGCTCGATCGAGCGGGAACCCAGTCGAGTGGAGTGCCCTGATGGCCGTCTCCCATCTCCAGACCACGACCTGCCTCCCAGTTCTTTGGGGGGCACTGAGGTATCAAACACCAACCCTTGTATATACCATTTCATATTTTTCTTTGTTTTTTTTTCTTGGTTTTGCCCTCTTGAATCTTTCACTAAATTTTCTCACACAAGGGACTGTGTGATTTAAGTTTGGGGGAGGGTTCAAGAGATGATTTAACCTTGTTTTCTTTGTTCTTAGTTTTTCATCTTTTGCATAGAAAAACCAAAAAAATCATAAAATTTTCAAAAAATCCAAAAATATTTTCATCTTTTTGCATTCATATTTGTTAGACTTGTTTAGGATTGCATTTTCACTTGCATTGTTGATTTGACTTTGAAAACTTGTCCATCTTTTGCGATTTCTTGAGTGCCCTGTTTTTAGATTCTCTTGTGCATTAGGGTGAGATTGATTGAGCAGCAAGAACCATGTTTATCTTGATCATATCACTGCATGCACATCTCATTCAACCATTGCTGTGATTTGATGCATTTCCCTATCTATTTGAACCATAACTTGATCTTTAATTACCAATGCTTGCATTTGATTTCAACTCATGGCTACCACATACATATCTGGACATTCTTTATACTTTCATATCCCTTTTGCTTGTCCAGATAGCTGATCTCTATTAGGATGCCAAAAAGGGTAGTTAGGATTTTGTTCTAAAAAGCTCTAAGTGTTGAACTCGATCGAGTTAGGATTAGACGGCTCGAGCTGCTGTTCTTGCATCATCTTTGGTTCTAACACTTAGCCTTCTGCCAAAGCAAAGCCACTTTCTTGAGAGATCCCTGTTACTAAACCACCATACAAAAGAGACCCTCTTTGTCTCTTAACCCATAAACCCTTGAAACCAAATGAGTTGATTGATCTTGCATGTTTTTGGTTCACTGTTTTTGCTTAATGAATGTTAAAGGGATTTGCTGATTTGAATGCATTGTTTGAGTGACTGTGAAGTGGGATTGATGTTGATAAGCATGGTTAAATCTTAATGAATATCTCTCACCTTGTTGCATTCTAGAATCTCTAAGTTGGACATTTAGCAAATCGCTTTTGAGGACATGTTTTTAAGTGTTGAATCAGCTATTTTCAAACCTCATCTCTTTCTTGTTCTATTTGTTTGCTTGAGGGCAAGCAAAGTTCAAGTTTGGGGGTGTTGATGTACTTGCATTTTACATAGTTTTAGTACATCTTTTATGCATCTTTTGCATAGTTTTAGCATCCATTAGCATCATATCTTGTTCCTTTTCTCTTCTTATGCATTCATAGTAGTTTTAGGTTGCATTTGCATACATATGCATGTTTGGTCCTTTGAAATAGGTCTTTTGGAGCATTCTGGAGCATATGGGACATGAGGAGCATGGAGGGACTTGGCACATGGACGCAGCTCAACTGGATACGCAAAGGAAGAAGGAGAAGCCATCTTGAAGACCAGCTCGACCCTACTCGACCAACCGGTCGAGTTCCTCAACTCGACCGGCCAAGCTTCAACTCGATCGAGCTGAGAAGTCAACAGTCAAACCCGAAAAATGTTGCTTCCCCCTTGACTTTCCTTTGACCCTAAACCTAATCCTCTTTGTATTTAAGGGCTAAAAGCCACGAAAAAACCACCAAGCTTTAGATTACTTTTGTTTTAGTTTCTTTTAATTTATTGTCTTTTACTTTTAGAGCTCTAATCCCATCTTTGTGTTCTTGAAGCTCTTGCTTCTTGAATCCTAGATCCTGGATAATCTCTTTGTATTTGCACTTGCTTATTTCAATAAAAGTTGTTTAATTTCATCTCCTCTTTCTTATGATGTCTCTTTTATTGCATTTGCTTGTGTTTACATTCATGTGTAGTGAGTAGTTTACCCATTAGGGTTTGAGATGGGATAGATTAGAGGTTTCATATGCTTAATCCTTCTTGCTTATGGTCTTAATCTAGATTCTCTCTCTTTTGGATAATCTTAAGGCTACATGACCACTACCCCTGGCTTGTATGTCCTTAGGCGATTCTCCACATGGAAGTGATGGAAATCGCTGGAAAAGATCCACTAAGAGCTCCAATATCTCTTGCTCTAGAAATAGAGGTCTAAGGGGTTGGATGGATTAGTTTGGGCAATGATCCTATGGCCTCCAAGGCTTGATTCTCACTGGCTAACCCCCTGTTTCTGAGATCATTCCTTGGTTGATAGCCTTCACCTTGGGAAAGGGTTAGCTAGGCATTGAGAAGCCCAATATCAAGAGAAGCCTTGATACAAGGAGTTTTAAGAGCAAGATGATTAAGTGTAGTTCCTCTGATTGTAAACCCTGTCTTAGACCCTAATTCTCTTTAGCTTGTTAAAGTCGCTGCCTTTATTGCTTTTCTCAACTCGACCCTAAACTCGATCGAGCTGGTACTCTGTTCCACTCGACTCGAGTCCTTGGTCGAGCTGTTGCTCTACTGCTTTATTTACTTTTATTGCATTGCATTTCTGTTTCATTTAGGTTGTTAGTGTTACCAAATCTATTACTGCTTGCTTGACTTCCTTGTTTTCATATTCTCATAGAGTGACAATTTCCCATTTTGGATTGATAACCCTTTATGCTATAACTCTATCATGGTTAAAGGGAATTGTTGACTGTGTTTGTGTTTGCATCTTACCACCTCATCATATACCACTGTTGCATTCCACCACATCTCATTTCATATCTTTCACATCCACACACAAATCCTATCATCAATTTGGCGCTCAAATGCAACAATAATCAACCCAAATCGGCAACGTCGCCAAATTGATGATAGGATTTGTGTGTGGGTGTGAAAGATAGTCCTCAAGAACATGCGCTTGGGATCTTGTGTGAGTGCTCTTGAGATCTTTGAGGATGTGGAGCTAGTCTCAAGAACATGCGCTTGGCCAAGTTCTTCTCTTACCGCATGGAGTCTACAAGGAGCTCACTTGTGAGTTTTTGGCTTCAATGAGGTTCACAATAAAGAGCTCGATCGAGCTGAGTTGGACCAAGGCTGGGATGGATCACGTTCTTGGCAAGGGAGAGAAAGAAGGTGACCTTTAGGCAGTTGGAGATCTGTTTGGGTTCACTATGGAGAGGGAACCATTGGGAATATCAAGGAGGATGACTCCAAAGAGTTGGGCTACAATCGCTGAAGAGGTACTCTTCCTCAAGGTCCAAGGCTGCCAGATCAGGAGCCCAGTGCTTGAGATATGTCCACAAGGCTCTTGCCAACACCTTCTTTGCAAGGAAAGCCACTGGACAATCAATGAGGTGAAGCTCCTTGACATGGGAATCAAGCCCATCATCTCACGCACAAGGATGGGAAGAAGATCAGAGGAGATAGATCATGCAGGGAATCTCATGCCTCTCTTGACCAGCTACTCTCCTACAAGACACGCCTAACACTAGGTTTCAAACGGGAAGGAAGCTTAGTGTTGGAGGAGTCATCACGCCAATCCTCTGTGCAGCTGGAGTCCATTTGGACAAGAGAAGGTCTACTCCAGCAGGATGGATGGACATCAAGTTTTGCAAGACCAACCTCCTCATTGAACACAAGGAGTTGGATGGGAGGTTCCAATTCAAGTTCACACATCCATTGGCTGGCCCTTCCAAGCTTCTTCTGCCCAACCCTGAGCTCACCACGGTTCTAGGAGGTGACAACATTGACTTCAGACCCCCTGTGTACACATTAGTTGGGCATGAAGAGGATTTGCGAGAAGAGGAGCCTGAACTCGATCGAGCTGAGGATCGAGCTGAGGACAACGCTCAGTGAATGCGGATTTGGGTGAGCCTGAGTGCTATTATTTTGAGGAGTATGAGGCTCCAAGGATGAACCCCTCTGTTGTGGCTGCCCACAAGAGGATTGGACTTCTCCAAAGTTCAACAAGTGGCAAGGGAAAGCCATGGAAGATGCAAAAGTCCATGGACAAGATGGTGAGCAAGATCAAGAGTTTGGAGAAGAAGGTTTCTGGTTCTTCATCAAGAAGAAGAAGGCAACCATGGCCCCACTTTCCCTAGGAGTAGATCACTCCTCACCACCCAAGGAGGCTCCCTGCCCAAGAGCCTCACAGAGCCTCTTCATTCGAGCCAAGGGAAGGAGAAGACAACTCACAGAGAAGGAGGAAGAGTCTAAGGCCAGACGCTCCAACTCGACCACCGGACTCGATCGAGTCCAAACAGAGGAAACTCAACTCGATCGAGCTGAGGGTCGAGTTGACCTGGAGGAGCCCCTGTTTGAGAACCCTGGATTCGAGTACGATCCAACGCCTACCAAGGACTTCCTCAGAGCCACTGGACCCCTACAACATTCGAGCAAGCACAGCTCCACCAAGGCCAAGGGAGCCACACACACTTCGATGAAGAAGAGGAAGAAGAGGAGCCGCAAGCTCGATCGAGTCACGAACCCAGTCGAGTGGAGTGCTCCTGATGGCCGTCTGCCCTCTCCAGACCACGACCTTGCCTCCCAGTTCTTTGGGGGGCACTGAGGTATCCAAACACCAACCCTTGTAATACCATTTCATATTTTCTTGCATTTTGTTTTTTCTTGGTTTTGCCCTCTTGAATCTTTCACTAAATTTCTCTCACACAAGGGACTGTGTGATTTAAGTTTGGGGGAGGGTTCAAGAGATGATTTAACCTTGTTTTCTTTGTTCTTAGTTTTTCATTCATCTTTTGCATAGAAAAACCAAAAAAATCATAAAATTTTCAAAAAATCCAAAAATATTTTCATCTTTTTGCATTCATATTTGTTAGACTTGTTTAGGATTGCATTTTCACTTGCATTGTTGATTTGACTTTGAAAACTTGTCATCATTTGCGATTTCTTGAGTGCCCTGTTTTTAGATTCTTTTGTGCATTAGGGTGAGATTGATTGAGCAGCAAGAACCATGTTTATCTTGATCATATCACTGCATGCACATCTCATTCAACCATTGCTGTGATTTGATGCATTTCCCTATCTATTTGAACCATAACTTGATCTTTAATTACCAATGCTTGCATTTGATTTCAACTCATGGCTACCACATACATATCTGGACATTCTTTACCTATTTTCATATCCCTTTGCTTGTCCAGATAGCTGATCTCATCTTTGAGACAGTTACCACACCTTAAACCTAAGCCTTTTCATTTCAAACCCCATATTATCTCTTGTGCGAATTGTGAGAACCTTTCTTGGCTTTGCTTAGCATAAGGTGTTGTGTTTAAACCGGCAGGGGCAGTAGTTCTAGTTGTCTAGTTCTCTTGGGATTGTTTTCAGGCTAAGTTTGGGGGTGCCAACTCGAGCTCGATCGAGTTGGGTGTCAAAAACCAGAAAAGTGGTAAAAGTTGGGAAAATCCAAAGGAAAAAGAGTTTAGTTAAGTCCAGGGAGTTGGCAGTGTTAAAAAGGGTCTAGTAAAGGTTTGGGAAGTTAAAAAAGGAAGTAAAAAGGGTTCTAAGTAGAAGAAAAGAAGGCAAAGCCTCAAGTGTCAAAAAGGAAAGAAAAGTTCCCTAAGTGTTTAGAAAATCCCAAACCGCTAGATGTTACCTCAAGAAGCCTCTCCCTAGGAAGTTCTTAAAAGAAAAGTGAGCAAAGCTCCTCAGTTTCAAAGGCGAAATGCCAAAAAGGGTAGTTAGGATTTTGTTCTAAAAAGCTCTAAGTGTTGAACTCGATCGAGTTAGGATTAGCGGCTCGAGCTGCTGTTCTTGCATCATCTTTGGTTCTAACACTTAGCCTTCTGCCAAAGCAAAGCCACTTTCTTGAGAGATCCCTGTTACTAAACCACCATACAAAAGAGACCCTCTTTGTCTCTTAACCCATAAACCCTTGAAACCAAATGAGTTGATTGATCTTGCATGTTTTTGGTTCACTGTTTTTGCTTAATGAATGTTAAAGGGATTTGCTGATTTGAATGCATTGTTTGAGTGACTGTGAAGTGGGATTGATGTTGATAAGCATGGTTAAATCTTAATGAATATCTCTCACCTTGTTGCATTCTAGAATCTCTAAGTTGGACATTTAGCAAATCGCTTTTGAGGACATGTTTTTAAGTGTTGAATCAACTTGTTTTCAAACCTCATCTCTTTCTTGTTCTATTTGTTTGCTTGAGGGCAAGCAAAGTCAAGTTTGGGGGTGTTGATGTACTTGCATTTTACATAGTTTTAGTACATCTTTTATGCATCTTTTGCATAGTTTTAGCATCCATTAGCATCATATCTTGTTCCTTTTCTCTTCTTATGCATTCATAGTAGTTTTAGGTTGCATTTGCATACATATGCATGTTTGGTCCTTTGAAATAGGTCTTTTGGAGCATTCTGGAGCATATGGGACGTGAGGAGCATGGAAGGACTTGGTGCATGGACGCAGCTCAACTGGATACGCAAAGGAAGAAGGAGGAAGCCATCTTGAAGACCAGCTCGACCATCTACTCGACCAACCGGTCGAGTTCCTCAACTCGACCGGCCAAGCTTCAACTCGATCGAGCTGAGAAGTCAAAGTCAAACCCGAAAAATGTTGCTTCCCCCTTGACTTTCCTTTGACCCTAAACCTAATCCTCTTGTATTTAAAGGCTAAAAGCCACGAAAAAACCACCAAGCTTTAGATTACTTTTGTTTTAGTTTCTTTTAATTTATTGTCTTTTACTTTTTAGAGCTCTAATCCCATCTTTGTGTTCTTGAAGCTCTTGCTTCTTGAATCCTAGATCCTGGATAATCTCTTTTGTATTTGCACTTGCTTATTTCAATAAAAGTTGTTTATCTTTATCTCCTCTTTCATTTGATGTCTCTATTTCATTGCATTTGCTTGTGTTTACATTCATGTGTAGTGAGTAGTTACCCATTAGGGTTTGAGATGGGATAGATTAGGGGTTTTATGCTTAATCCTTCTTGCTTATGTCTTAATCTAGATCTCTCTCTTTTGGAAATCTTAAGGCTACATGACCACTACCCCTGGCTTGTATGTCCATTAGGCGATTCTCCACATGGAAGTGATGGAAATCGCTGGAAAAGGTCCACTAAGAGCTCCAATAACTCTTGCTCTAAATGGAGTTAAGGGGTTGGATGGATTAGTTTGAGCAATGATCCTATGGCCTCCAAGGCTTGATTCTCACTGGCTAACCCCCTGTTTCTGAGATCAAGTCTTGGTTGATAGCTTTCACCTTGGGAAAGGGTTAGCTAGGCATTGAGAAGCTCAATATCAAGAGATACCTTGATACAAGTTTTAAGAGCAAGATGATTAAGTATAGCTTCCTCTGATTGTAAACCCTGTCTTAGACCCTAATTCTCGTTTAGCTTGTTAAAGTCGCTGCCTTTATTGCTTTTTACTTCAACTCGACCCTAAACTCGATCGAGCTCGGTACTCTGTTCCACTCGACTCGAGTCCTTGGTCGAGCTGTTGCTCTACTGCTTTATTTATTTACTGCATTGCATTTCTGTTTCATTTAGGTTGTTAGTGTTACCCCATATCTATTACTGCTTGCTTGACTTCCTTGTATTTCATATTCTCATAGAGTGACAATTTCACCCATTTTGGATTGATACCCTTTATGCTATAACGACTATCATGGTTAAAGGGAATTGTTGACTGTGTTTGTGTTTGCATCTTACCACCTCATCATATACCACTGTTGCATTCCACCACATCTCATTTCATATCTTTCACACCCACACACAAATCCTATCATCAAGTGCCAATCTTGCTTCATCTCACGCCTAGTTCGTGTAGTTCGCCACATTGCACTGGAGAGACTCTTTCGCCCTTCTTCCACCGCTAGAGAACCATATGAGCCTGACCTTGGTGAGTTCTCACTAGACTCAGAGCTTGGCTCAGAAGGCGATGAACCCATAGAAGAGGAAGAGAGTTCTTCTCACTGCCACACATAGTCATCTCAAGTGGTACTTAGTGTAATGGACACTTACAAATCTCCATTTTCTATCCCTATCTCATTTTAATGAATTTCTCTTTATTTTTCTTTTACACTACAAGAAAACAGGCGATTTGCGACGTAAATTTGCGATCGAATTATTTCCGTCGCAAATTTGCGATAATATTGCGACGTAATTGCGACGGTTTGCGAAGTCATCGCAACGCCATCCCAAATTTGCGACGAAAATGTTTCCATCGCAAATTTGCGAAAAACTTGCGACGGATTTGCGACGAAACTTAGACCCATCGCAACGACATCGCAAAGTTGCGATAGATTTGCGATAGAAACAATTCTGTCGCAAGATTGCGACAAACTTGCGACTGATTTGCAACGAAACTGTGGAATTTGTTAAAACTTTGCGATAGGCGTATCATTTCATCGCAATTCTATAGCAATCTTGCGATGGCTTTGCGCTGGAATTGAGATGGACAAGATATATTTCCTCGCAAATCCCTCGCAAATATAGTTTTGGGGTTTAGGGTATCAGATTTGTGACTTAATAGAATTTTAGATATATAAGATTAGTTTATAATGCGTAATGTAAACTAAATGATTGCCGATAAAGCAAAAAATAACGTCTCACTCAAATTCATTATTTTTATATATGTTTTATGAACTTCAGTAATGTACTTACATTATGAAAGTTTTAGTTCAAAAATAAAGTAATTGTCAATTTTATGTTAATAATATTCATATTAAATTATTTATACGCACTTATTTCCAATGTCTAGCTATATGATTAGTCCGTATTCAAAACCCTAAATCGTAAGACCTAAACTTACATTTTACTCACAGTTTCCTCGCAAGATGCGACGGTTTTGCTATAGATTTGCGAGAAACAATATCATTTCCGTCGAAAATTCATCGCAAATTAGGGTTTCCGTCAGTCGCAATTCCGTTGCAATATGGTTCCATCGCAATTCCATCGCAAACTTGTGATGGATTTGCGATAGCAGTTATATATTTCCTCGCAAATCCCTCGCAAATATAGTTTTGGGGTTTAGGGTATCAGAATTTTAGGTATATAAGATTAGTTTATAATGTGTAATGCAAACTAAATGATTATCGATAAAGAAAAAAATAATGTATCTCTTAAATTCCTTATTTTAATGTTTTATGAACTTTAGTAATGTACTTAACATTATGAAAGTTTTAGTTCAAAAACAATGTAATTGTCAATCTCATGTTACTAATATTCATATTGAATTATTTATACACACTTATTTCCAATGTCTAGCTATGTGATTAATCCGTATTCGAAACCCTAAATCGTAAGTCCTAAACCTACGTTTTACTCCCAATTTCCTCGCATATGCGACGGTTTTGCTAGAGATTTGCGAGAAACAATATCATTTCTATCGCAAATCCATTGCAAATTAGGGTTTCCGTCTCTTGCAATTCGGTCGCAAATTCGTCGCAAATATTGCGACAGAGTTGCGACGGATTTGCAAGGGCATATTAATTGTATATATATAGCGGCTGTACCTTGAAGCAAACCGTAATCTCTCATTATTTCCGCCGCCTGAGCAATCTCTCTTTTTTCTCCGCCCCCGATTCGATCTCATTTCCTCTCCGGAGCTTCCTCTTTTCTCCCCGCCGGTTGTCTCCTCACCTCCTCTCTGCCGCCGATCTGATTCTTCTTCCTCTCTGGCGCCTCCTCTATGTCTTCCTGCTGCGTGCCTCCTCACCTTCTCTCCACCGCCGCTGATCTCTTTCACTCCGCCGCACACTTCCGATCTGTCTCTCCGCCACAGATCTTCTTCACTCAGCCGCCGGTCATCAGTCTCTCTCCGCCTTCTGCGTCCTCTCCTTCTTTCCGGCACATATCTTCTTCCCTCCTCACCGTCGCCGGTTCTCTTCCCCGCCGTCGATGAGCTTGTGCCGCGAGCCTCGTTTCCTCTTCCTCTCCTCCCCCGGACCGCCTCTCTAACACCACCGTCAGTTTTGAAAGGTGTCTTATTTGAAATTGTTTTTTTTTTTTTTTTTTTTTCAGATTTTGTTAGCTTATTTGAAATAGTTTTAGAGTTTGTAGATCTTGGTATAATTTTATTTTTAAGTTGATAAGTAAGATTGGATTATATGAAAAAATTTGCTAATTATATCCAATTTTTTTAGAAATCAATATTAAGCATTTTGAAAATTCATGTTAAGAATTTTGATATTAATTTTAAAAAGAACTAGATTGCTATAATATTTTCTTTAACTTATTTCATAATTTTGCTACATTTTCCTATAATTGTTAGGTTATTGGATTAGTTATTGATTTTAACTTTTTCATAATTTAGCTATATTTAAAATAATTGTTAGGTTATTAGATGAATTATCCAAAAAAATTAGAAATCAATGTTGAGCATTTCGAAAATTAATGCTAAGAATTTTGATATTAATTTTTAAAAAATACCAGGTTGATAGAATATTTTTTTTGTTATGGGCTTTATTCTTAGTGGATGCCCATTATAAGGTCCACTATACTTGTACTACACTTGTACTACTTTCTCCTCTTGTACCCTAGCTTTGTATCCTATATAAGAGGTACTCTAGTCCATGAATAAATCATTCCATTCTCTCATTTCACAACACGTTATCAGCACGAAAGTTCTACCTCTTAGCTTTTCTAGGTAATCACAAAAGTTCTAATAGTTCTAATAGTTCTTATAGTTTGAATTCACAAAATTCAATGAGTAATCCCTATTACTTTGTTGATTTGTGTTTATCATACTAAAATCCATTTCTATCAATATTTAATCTCTATTACTTATTGATAATATTTTGGATTCAGCAAACTCATGCTTTATATATATTTATATTATTTTCGTAATATATTTATTCAATTGCCAGAATAATTTTTTTATTTTTTTTTCCCCTCTGGTTAAATTATATCCCTGAAGGATTAATGTTATAAGAAAAAAAATTATATATATCCCTGAAGGATTTATATATTATTTTTCCTTGAAGGAATTATATATTTCAATTATATACATCCTGAAGGATTTGTATTTTATTTTTATCCCTGAAGGATTCATATTTTTATTTATGTTTTATTTATATTTCATGTTTATGTTTATTTATTTTATTTATATCCCTGAAGGATTTCTATCTTTTTATTCCCAGAAGGATTTTATATTGTTTATTACTTCTTTTGTTTGTTTAAATTGTCTGTTATTTATTTTGCTCATCTATTGTTCTTATTTTATTTGTTTTTCTCATTTTAGTTATTTATTTTCGTAATATATATTTAATTAATTACTGAAATGAATAATTAATTGAATTGAAATTCTCTTGACCATATTAAATATTTAATTTGAATAAATCGTTTGCATTAATTGGCATAAATTTGACATTTGAAATGTTATTGCATTCTTGTCTATATTAATTTCTAAGATTGACTTGTTGACTACATGAATTCATAATTAAATAAGTGCTAAAATCACTCTGAATATATATCTTTAATATTATTATTAAAATGAATCTTGATCAGTTTTATTAAAATAATATTGTTTGATTTTGAATCATAATCGTATATTGCTCATTATTAATTTTGAGATTGTTTATTATTGATAAATCATCATTTGATCATCATTTGCTAATAATAATATATATTATATCATTGCATATCTGAAAAAAGTAAATTGCTAATACTGTTTATTCTTAATATTAGAAATAAATGTGTATTTGTTTCCTTGTTTTACTTAATAAATCAATTATTATTATTATTCTTTTCCAGTCTTGCTAATAATGTTTATTATTTATTATTTTTCAGTAACCATGTCAAACTTAACAAGTTTGGAATTTGAGGCTTTGGATATCACCGGGAATAACTATCTCGCGTGGGCACTAGATGCCGAAATCCACCTCAATGCAAAAGAACTTGATGAATCAATCAAGGAAGTGAATAAAGCTGAAAGCAAAGACAAAGCAAAGGCTATGATATTCCTTCGCCATCATCTCCATGAGGATCTCAAGAATGAGTACTTGAATGTGAAAGATCCACAAATCCTCTGGAATAGTCTCAAGGAAAGGTATGATCACCAGAAAACTGTGATTTTACCCAGAGCTCGTTATGATTGGACTCATTTGAGGCTTCAAGACTTCAAGTCTGTAGCAGAGTACAACTCAGCCTTGTTTAAGATCACCTCCAAGTTGGAGTTGTGTGGAGAGAAAATCACGGATGCTGATAAGTTAGAGAAAACATTCTCTACTTTTCATGCCAACAATGTTGTCCTGCAGACACAATACCGTGAAAAGGGATTCCAGAAGTATTCCCAGTTGATATCATGTCTCCTTGTTGCTGAGCAGAATAACGAGCTGCTGATGAAAAACCATGGTCTGCGTCCAACTGGTTCTGCTCCATTCCCTGAAGCGAATGTGACAACCTTTGATAGGACAGAACAAAACCACAGTGGTCGAGGATACAATCGTGGTCGTGGTCGTGGTGGTCGTGGTCGTGGTCGTGACAATGGTCATGGAACTAGAAGAGACTATGGTCGAGGTCGAGGAGTTTCCTTCAAAAACTCACACTCTAACCAAAGAGGGGGAAACAGAGGTAACAACAAGCACACACAAGCAAATGTGTGTCACCGATGTGGAGGAAAAGACCATTGGTCTCGTTTGTGCCGTACACCAAAGCATCTTGGTTGAGCTGTATCAACAGTCTCTGAAACCAAATGGAAAGAATGTGGAAACAAACATGGTGTTCGAAGATGGAGAAGATGACTTTGGCTCATTCAGTGAGGCCACTCACATGGAAATTGCTGATCTCATTGCCCCTGCAGGGCAGAATTGATTTTATTTATTTTATTTCAAGACATTTGTTGCATTATTTATTGGTTTTTGGCTTTTGGTGTTTTGGCTTTCTTTTAATTGTTATTCTTTTCGAATTTATGAGTTGTTATTTTTAATATTATTTAATTAAGTTATTTACTTATTTGATTTTAATTTATCTTTTTATTTATTTTGAAGAACAATGAATGGTGGAGATTTATGCTTGGCAGACAGTGCAACTAGTCACACTATTTTGAAAACTAAGAGATATTTCTCTCATTTGATAATGAAAGAAGCCAGTGTGAGCACTGTAATGGGTAGTGCAAATATAATTGAAGGCTCCGGAAGAGCATATATAGTATTGCCTATGGGAACAAAATTCGAAATTTCTGATGCGCTATACTCGCCTAAATCTAACAGAAATTTACTGAGTTTCAAAGATATTCGCAGAAATGGATATCATATTGAAACTATGAGTGAAGGAGATGTTGAATATCTTCATATCACAAGTAATACCCAAGGCTCTAAAAAGATTGTGGAAAGACTACCTGCTTTCTCCACTGGATTGTACCATACTAATATTAGTACAATCGAAGCAAATGTTGTAGTAAACCAGAAGTTTACTGAAAACTTTATCGTTTGGCATGACCGGTTAGGCCATCCCGGTACAACAATGATGCGAAAGATAATCACTAATTCGTGTGGACATTCATTACAGAACCAGAAGATTCTGCCTAATGACTTCACATGTGCTGCTTGTTCACAAGGCAAATTGATTATAAGGCCTTCACCAGCCAAGATAACCTCAGAATCAATCAATTTTCTGGAACGCATACAAGGAGATATTTGTGGACCGATTCACCCACCATGTGGAACCTTTAGATATTTTATGGTTCTAATTGACGCATCAACAAGATGGTCACATGTATCCTTGTTATCAACTCGCAACCTGGCGTTTGCGAGATTACTTGCTCAGTTGATTAGACTACGAGCACATTTTCCAGATTTCCCTCTAAAGGCAATTCGACTTGATAATGCTGGTGAATTCACATCTCAAGCTTTTAATGATTATTGCATGTCAATTGGGATAAGTGTTGAACATCCTGTAGCTCATGTTCATACACAAAATGGTTTAGCTGAATCGTTAATAAAACGTCTCCAAATGATTGCTAGACCATTACTTATGAGATCCCAACTCCTGTCTGCTTGGGGACATGCCATATTGCATGCAGCAACACTAATTCGCATCAGGCCAACGAGTAATCATAAGTTCTCCCCATCACAATTGATACTGGGTCAAGAGCCAAATATATCCCATCTCAAAATTTTTGGATGTGCCGTATATGTCCCGATTGCTCCACCACAGCGTTCTAAAATGGGACCCCAGAGAAGGCTGGGTATATATGTTGGATATGATTCTCCATCAATCATTAAGTATCTAGAGCCATCCACAGGGGATCTATTTAAAGCTCGTTTTGCAGACTGTCATTTTAATGAATCAGTCTTTCCGACATTAGGGGGAGAAAGACAGCTGGGAAAAGAACTTAGCTGGAATGAATTATCATTAAATTATCTTGATCCTCGGACTAAAGAATGTGAATTAGAAGTCCAAAAGATAATTCATTTACAGAATTTAGCAAATCAGTTGCCAGAAGCATTTGCTGACCCAAAAAGAGTGACTAAGTCACATATACCAGCTGAAAATGCTCCGATTAGAATCAATGTCTCAGAAGGACATAATCAAATTGCTACTGAGTCTAAGGCACGCCAGAAGCGTGGTAGACCTATTGGTTCCAAAGATAAAAATCCTCGAAAAAGAAAAGGAGCAGAAATTGGCACAAGTGAAATCGAGGAAACTATGAATGAAAAATCTCCAGAAGAGACTTTACACATGACAGAAATTCAGGTACCTGAGAATGAAGAGATCTCAACAAATTATGTCATGTCTGGAATAACATGGAACCGTAAGCAAATCGACGTCGATGAAATTTTTGCATACAATGTAGCAATTGATATTATGGATGAGGATCATGAACCAACATCTATTGCAGAGTGTACACAAAGAAATGATTGGCCAAAATGGAATGAAGCAATAGGTGCAGAAAGAACATCTCTTGGAAAGAGAGAAGTGTTTGGACCAGTAGTCCGTATACCTAAAGGTGTCAAACCAGTAGGACACAGATGGATTTTTGTGAGAAAGAAGAACGAAAATGGTGAAATGTGAGATACAAAGTTCGCTTAGTTGCACAAGGTTTCTCACAAATTCCTGGAGTTGATTATGAAGAGACATACTCTCCTGTGGTGGATGCAACTACGTTCAGGTTCCTTATTACTTTGGCAATAAGAGAAGGACTTGACTTACGCTGATGGATGTAGTAACAGCCTACCTGTACGGACCACTGGATACTGATATTTACATGACAGTTCCAGAAGGATTCACTGCCTGAAGCAGAAAACTCTAGTTCCAGACATGATCAAAGCAAACACACATAGAGATGAAGAAAACATGATTGCAATAAAACTTAGAGTAGGAAATCGAAATACAGGGCGGCTCTCTTTCTCAAGAGGCTAAAAATCCATATATATAGTGCTAGGTCTTTCTAGAGGCGGCTAGGGTTAAGCCGGGCTTGAAAACATAAGTTTGGGCTTCAAAAAGGGCTTCGGGTCGACCGCGGCGTTGGGACGGTCGTGCGGGACGATCGGCCGGACAATCGGGTTGTGGCCGAGTCGGAACGGTCGGGGTCGGACGGATTCACGGTCGGTCGGCGTGGTCGAGCGGATAGAGTTTGGCCGATGAAATCTCTCGGCCGGACGCGAGGCGTTACTCCCCGGGTCGGACGGAGCGTTCGTGCGCGGTACGTGAAGCGAGTTGCGCGGCCGCGAGGCTTACTTCCCGGCTCGCGCGCTTTGGTCGTGCGCGGTTGGCGTGGCCGGTGTGGCGTGGCCGACCGCGGGCTTGAGTTTCCCGGGTCGTGATGCGTGATCGGCCGAGTGGTTTTGGACTTGGCCGAGACTTCAGTCGGACGGACGAGCTTTGGCCGAGCGCGGAACATGCGTTCCTCGGCCAGCCGGACTGCGCGGTTTGGGCGCTGTTCTCTCGATAGAGCCGTCTGGACAGTCTCCACTCTTTTGGTTGTAACTCCTTTTCTACTCATCCAAATTAGGCCATTCCAATTGCGTTGGAAAGTTAACTCAATCAGAGCACGCAGGGAACTGGTCTTGATGAAATCCATTGAGTAGATCTTTTTCTGGGCCCTCTTAAAGTTGGTGCTTGTGCATGGAGCTGCTTGAAGTGCAAATCCTATGGTTTTGCTCCAAAATGCATCATTTCACCTGTTTAGACTCTAGACACTATAAACACAGTAAAACTACCTTTTTAGATAGAAAACCTGCCAAAAACCATTAGAAAACAATGCTAAAACAGTATAAAAAGTGGGTAAATTAGAGGTATATCACATGACCACTACCCCTGGCTTGTAAGTCCTTAGGCGACTCCCCACACGAAAGTGATGGCATTCGCTGGAAAAGATCCACTAAGAGCTCCAATATCTCTTGCTCTAGACAATAGAGGTCTAAGGGGTTGGATGGATTAGTTTGGGCAATGATCCTATAGCCTCCAAGGTTTGATTCTCACTGGCTAACCCCCTGTTTCTGAGATCATTCCTTGGTTGATAGCCTCCACCTTGGGAAAGGGTTGGCTAGGCATTGAGAAGCCCAATATCAAGAGAAGCCTTGATACAAGGAGTTTTAAGAGCTAGATGATTAAGTGTAGATTCCTTTGATTGCAAAACCCTGTCTTGAACCCTAATTCTCTCTTTATCTTGTTAAAGTCGTCACCTTTAGCTTTGTTTGTCTCAACTCGTCCCTAAACTCGATCGAGCTGGTACTTTGCTCTACTCGACTCGAGCTCTTGGTCGAGCTGACACTTCACTGCTTTCTTTACTTTTATTGCACTGCTTTTCATTTTATTTAGGTTGTTAGTGTTACTTCAAATCTTTACTGCTTGCTTGACTTTCTGGTTGTTTCATATTCTCAAAGAGTGACAAGTTTCCCATTTTGGATTGATAACCTCTTATACTTCAATGACTATGATGGTTAAGAGGAATTGATTGATTGTGATTGCACCATACCATTTCATCTTTATTCACCCCTGTTTGCATTCCACCTCATATCTTATCATCCTTCATTCATATCACACACATAAAATCCTATCATCAATTTGGCGCCGTTGCCGATTTGGGAAATTTTTGTTGCATTTGAGTTTCAAACACACTTGGACGATCAAGCTATACCACCCCTGTTCTATTGTACTGCTGGGTTTTTGTCTCTTTTTGCAGGTGTATGCGAACTCGATCGAGTCGGTCTACAGAGGACTTGGTCGAGCTAGACTTTACAACGGGTAGAAAGAGGGTTCAGAGGTCACAGAGGGTACAAGTGGGAACCTGAGGTGCTTGTTGCTGACACAACAAGGGTCATTGAAGATTTTTGTTTACTGCTGAATGATGAAGAGATTGTTGCTGCTGAGGCTCCTGGAGTCCAGATTGATCAACCAGAAGTGCAGGCACCTACTGTGGCCATTCACACTTCACCAGTTGAGCTCGCACGACAAGCTCGATCGGCAGCTCGATCGAGTCCAACTCTAGCTCGATCGAGTCCGACCTCTTCTGTCCCAAAACCTGTTTTGCTTGATCCTTACCAACCGGTTGCCGCTTCCTCGTCTCGCCTACTTAGTCAAGGTCACAAGGAAGTGATTCACAAGTTCAGAAGAGATCTCAGTGGGATTGGAATTGAGTTGCCTCCTATGGATAGCATGAGTGAGGCATTTGATCAAATGCAAATGGTCAAGGATGTTCTAGCCAACAGTGATAAAGTTTCAGAGGTCCTACAAGAGTCTACTCATCAGTTCAACCTGCTTACTTCACCCACCTTCCTACCAAAGGTCAAGGATCAAGGGAAATTCACTCTCCCTTGCACACTTGGGCATCTTGAGATTGACAATGCCTTAGTGGATTCTGGAGCAAGCATCAATCTGATCTCTCTCTCCATGGCAGAGAAGCTAGGCATTGCTGGAGCCTTGCAGCGCCCTACTACTTCAATCATGTTTGGAGATGCAACTTCTAAGTCTCCTCTTGGAGTGTTCAAGAACTATCACTTGAAAATTGGAGAATGCATCATCCAAACTGATCTCACTGTGATGGAAATGGAAGAAGAGAAGGATTTGCCTTGTTATTGGGAACCCCTTTCCTTAGTACAGTTGGCGCTTCAATAGACTTTCACAAGCAAGAAGTGATCCTTCACAAGGTGAATAGTTTGGTGTCATATCGCTTGCAGCCTAGAGGTTCAGACTTTTGTGCCACAATTGACAGTACCAATCTCAGTTCTAAGAGTCATGGAGCTACAAAGGTTGTGAAGGAAAGGGTTGACAAGGAACCAAGAGTTGGGAAGGATAAGGATGAGAGAGGACCAAGGATTGAGAAGCCACGTCTTGAGAGGGCTAGAGTTGAGAAACCACGATCTGATAGGCCAAGAGCTGAGACTTGTTCAAGCCCCTTGTGTGCTTGATGAAGAGAGCCTTCAAGCTTTGTTTGATGAGCCACTAGGAAGGGCTCTAAAAGAAGGGGAGGATGCAGCCTCTAAGGCAAGACCAGGGATAAAAGAAAGATCCACCAGCTCAGGCCCCTTCAGTCAAGCCATCTCAGCTCACAATGACTTTGTTCCCCACCAAGTTTGAAAATGGGAAGATTGAGTACAAGATAAGGTACAAGGGGAGATCAAGGCCATTCTCTAGAGCCAAGGCCTTGGTGACTTCAGAACAGTCCAGGGACCCAACCAAGCTAAAGGAGCTTCTGTCTCAAGTCCTCACTATCACCCTTGATGGTGGGACTAGCTCAACCAATGCCTAAGAAGGTAAAGGTCAAGCTATGGGACCTTAAACAAGCTCACTTGGGAGGAAGTCCCATGTTTATCCTTGTACATACTCTATTTATGCAATTTCTATCTATCTTTATGTTTTTAACCTTTGAATAAGTTAAGTTTAGGGTCAAGAGAGCCAGCTCGACCACAACTCGACCGAGGTAAGTTTTTGAATTTCAAATTCATAACCGTTTTCTTGGTCAAGGCTCGATTTCCCATTGCCCCTCATGGAGTCAATCAACCACCATCACCACCATCATCACCACCACCCAGTGGTATGTCAATTCCATATCAAGAGAGAAGCTTGCTGAGTTCAATCAGTTTGTCCAAACTCTTCCAGCCAGCATGTCTTTCAAACAAGCTTGGCGCCACTACCCATTCACCACCTTTCTTCCACAACTGCAAGGAGACACCTGAGGACATAAAAGAGCTTTTTGAGAAAGCTAAAGTTCAGCCAACCTTCAAGACCCTCTACAAGATTGAAGACCCAGGTCAATTCTCTATTCCCTGTCAAGTAAATGGTCATTACTTTGATAGAACACTATGCGATTCTGGCTCTTGCATAAACCTCATGCCAACCCAAACCGCCAAACTCCTTGGCATCACACGCTTGCAACCTGCTCAAATTAGTATTGGACTTGCTAACCATACTATAGCCAAGCCAAGAGGAGTTGTTGTTGATGTTCTTCTAGAGATTGGAGATATCAAGATCCCGGTGGACTTTCATGTCATAAACATTCAAGGAGGATGTGACACACCATTGATACTAGGCCGACCCTTTTTGGCCACTGCTGGAGCTGTCATGGACCTTCCAAACCGGCGAATGTCCTTAGCCAATGTTGACAAGACAGTCTTTTACAAGACCATACCATTCATCTCACCAAACAAGCTGTCTTACCTCATCACTGCCCAAGGCCGCCCAAGAGAGCCACCAGACCACACTCAAGGTCACAATGAGACAAGAACTAAAAGACTATGTCTCAGGCCGTGCCCTTACCCCATCTCCAACTAAGAGATCCTATCAGTCAAGCTAATGACTCAAAAGAAGCGCTGCATGGGAGGCAACCCATGAAAGGTGTTTTTCTTTACTTTTCTTTTCAATTAGTTTTAGTTAATGTCTAGTTTTGTTTTGAGTTTTGGAACAGGAATCTAAGAACCACACAATGGTAAAGAAGATATACCACAAGAAGAATGTTCATAGTTGGCGCGACTTAGATGGCCGAGCAGAACCTCTCCACGCTCGCCCATGTCCTCTCAAGCCGCCCAACACACCATCCCATCTCATTCCATCTGCATCTCACCCATCCCACCTCACCACACTTGCATTCCATCACTACCATCATTCCACTGCATTCACCATTCTTCAAGTAACACAAATCAGGTTACATCTTTCTTTTTACATTCACAACCACTTTATTACCTCTTTCTTTAACTCCCTTAATTGGATTTTCTTTCACCGGGACGGTGCAAGTTAAGTCTGGGGGGATTGTCGGTACTAATGTGTTTGTTCATGGTTGTTTTGATCTTATAATTGGTTTTTCCTAACCCACTTTTTCAAAACTTCTGTTTTATTGAGTCAAAACCAGTCCGGAACAATGAACTTGCTTTGAGATTTGATAGTGTTATGCTAACAATCTATGACCCTAGAGCAAACATCAGCTGAAGGCACAAGCCTAACAGAAGCTCCTAGAGTGGATCGCATGCTAGCTCAGCGAAATTTCTAAGGTAACCAAGCAATCTAGAGTTAACCTCACCCTTAATCAATCTTAATAACTCTTGTCAAGGGGATTGGCATACATGTCGACAGTTCCTTGCTTGATTTTCAATGAGATTTGTCTAAAGAGTTCTCCTCTCTCTCCCATCCCAAATGGTAAGTAATGTTTATGAGAAAAGCTCAAAGAGCACAAGGAAAACAAGTAAGCATGAGGAATGCATATGTCTGTACCTTCATGTCTTATGGAATACCTTATCAAACAAGGAACAAGCTAAAGACTTATCCTGTGGTTGAAAGAAGGTCAATAGAAAAAATAAAATGATACCCTAGAAAAGTAGGGAGAAATTGACCTTTCAAAGTTCTGATGTGAGAAAGAGAGAGGAAAAGGAACTCATTGCACTTCAAAGACAATCTTGGAGAAGATCAAGTGGGTAAGAACAAGTTCAATTGATCGATTTCCCTTGATAAAGAACTCACGCTTTAAATTTATGCAAGAGGTTAGCAATAGAGAGTTTGGATTGCTGGATGAGACTAGTTGGGTTGGTATTGTTCGCTAAACTTGCAGGGTGTATGTGAAGCTAACCTTATGTTGACTATGTTCTTAGTGGAATACAGGAAAGGAACCTTTCACAGGATTTTCAAAGAAGCAAGAGAGTTCCCACGTTTTTCAAAACCTCTTCACTAGTTTAGATTCTTTTTGCTTGGGGACAAGCAAAGATCTAAGTCTGGGGGAGTTGATATACCTCTATTTTACCTACTTTTTATGCTATTTTACTATGGTTTTCTAATGGTTTTCTAGTGGATTCTTGTGTTAAAAGGTAGTTTTTATGGATTTATAGTGCAAAGAGTCATTTTAGGTAAAAAGGTGCATTATGGAGCAAAACAGAGATTTGGACTCAAACCAGTTCAATGCCCCTGCATCAACTTTGGATGGAGCTAGAAAAAGATCTACTCAATGGATTTCATCAAGACCAGTTCCCTGCGTGCTCTGATTGAGTTAACTTTCCAACGCAACTGGAATGGCTTCATTTGGATGAGTAGAAAAGGAGTTATAGCCAAAAGAGTGAAGACTGCTCCAGACGGCCATATCGAGAATCAGCGTCCGAACGCGCAGACCGGCTGGCCGAGGAACGATGTTCCGCGCTCGGCCAAAACTGTTCCGTCCGACTGAAGTCTCGGCCAAAGTCCAAACCGATCGGCCGATCACGCATCACGACCCGGGAAACAGCCCGCGGTCGGCCACGCCACAACGCCACGCCACAACCGCGCACGACCAAAGCGCGCGAGCCGGGAGTAACGCCTCGCGGCCGCGCAACTCGTCACGTACCACGCACGAACGCTCCGTCCGAGCCGGGGAACTATGCCCGCGTCCGGCCGAGATTTCATCGGCCAATTTCCAATCCGTCCGACCGACATCATCCGGCCACGACCGTTCCGACTCGCCCAAGACCCGACTGTCCCGACCGACCGTCCGAACGCCGCGGTCGACCCGAAGCCGTTTTTGAAGCCCAATCCGCACAATTCAAGCCCAAAGCCGGCGCCGACCTAGCTAGATTAGGTTTAGCCGTCTTCTTATACTTAGAGCATTATAAATACTTCTTTTTAGCCTTGTAACTCGAACAAAGGTGAACATGGAAGGTTACATGATGATTGTAGTTGGGTATAAGTTTGTGTCTCAAAGTGATTATCTTGATAAAATGGAGGTTTCCAGATATGTTAAAGACACATATTGGATATTGAGTTTTTAAAAGAAGAAATGATAGAGGCGTATTATGTGGTTTTGGTTGTGACTTATGCAAAGCTGTGTTCCTCTCTAGATGTTCCTCATAGGAGATGATCACCAAAGTCGTTTTCGATTGGTAATTCTAAAGGCGTTACTCAAAGACTATCTGGTAATTTTCAGAATTGGTTTATGCAAGATATTGTATTAGAAAATGACTAAAGGTTCTGATTGTCTGAGAGGAGGTTAGCAAGTGTGGGTATGGAGCTTCTTTATGGGACGCTTTTAATGGAATTACCGAAGAGTGATTCAGGTTCAATATGGTAGTTATTATTTGAGCAGGACTTTGGCAGATTAAGGGCGAAAGTATACAAGGTGTTAAACAGGAATCTTGTCTTCGAAACGTGGTTAGATGCAGCCTTGTGGATATTTGAATCATTTTCGGGAAACTGGAGGGAGCAGAGACTGCATCAACGCATCTAACAGAGTCTGTAACAGAAGTTAGAACACGCTCTGGAACATAGATAGACTGATAAAAGCCCAGCAACATGAGAGCATATGTTTTTCACTTAGTTATGCACACAAGCAGGGGGAGATGAGGTTTTTTTTTGGTCTTTTGTCTGAATCGTGAAGCTTGGTTGCAGGAAGAGTAAAGGCTTGATTACTCTTCCGATGGTCGATTGGCTTGTTCAGTGATTCCTTGTGTGTGATTGTGTTGCTTACAAAACTGATTGCTTGAGTATCAAACTAAGCCAAAAATGGGGAGAATGAAGATGTTAATCTTGTGAGCTACATGTTGATGCAATCAGACATGAAGTGGTAGCTAGTGTTGGAGTTCTAAAAGTCAGTCATCAAGGGAGAGATTGAAAGTGTTGTGCTGAGTGATTTGAGAAACTGCATGAACAAGACGTCATACAGAGGCTGGGAAAGAATCTGATACAGATGCTGATGTAGTACTTGATGTCCAGGCTGATGCAATGTTGCCACGAAACAGAAACGTGATGTAGAGTTATAGAGATATATGTGGATATCAAGTATATATGGAGACTCGTTGATATATCTTGGAAAAGAGGAATAGGAATATTGAAGAATATTTCTATTTGTGGAGTCTCCTTTGTTTTAGGAAATAAACAACGTGAGAGAACCTAGAGGCTAGGTTTAAGGGTTCTCACCCTTGATTATAAATACCAAGAGGCCGTCTCATAAACAATTGACGCGCCTAGGGTAGAATTGTAGGCTTTGTAGTGCTGGATACCATATGCAGTTGTAATTGTACTCTTGTTCTAGTGGATTTGATCTGGGCTAGGTCCCAGAGATGTAGGAAACGAACCTCATTAAAAATTACATTATGCTCGTACACATGCTCATTACATACTCGGATACATGAACTTATAGAACTAGCCGCAGTTTCAAAGAGTGGGAACGAATATCTGCTCCAGCACGGGTCACTACTGTTGCAGCAAAGATTTCTGCAACAATGGAGAAATCAGTTTAGAGGAGAACAATTACAATTCAGATCTAAGATCTTTCCGAGAAAGTAACTGATAACCACAAAAATGAAAAGTAATCACTCACTTCTGAGATACTGATCTTTTGGACACTCGACATGATTCGCAGATTTGACTATGGCAACATCTAAATCAAAAAAGAAAACATGAAAATTCAGGAAAACAAATAGTTGGTAACGTAAGAGCTGGGAATAAGAGAAAGGAAGGTTTCATATCCTAAAACGAAATGGTGCTCTATCTGAAACACCCGTGGACATATGTAGGTGGTGTCTGAGTAGATTTGGGAAAGAGTGAGGAAAGAGAAAGAGGAGTATATGTAAGTACCATAATTAGAAGAATTTGAAAACAAACGTCTGACCTCAATTTGGATGGTTAGGTCACCGTGCGAGTATGGGAGCAGAACAGGCGATTGAAAACTGGGAAGCCGATCGTGGAATTTTGGAGACGAATAATCTGCAAGAGGGAAGAGACTAGATTCGGAGGGGGAGAAGAGAAACATTCATAGTTGATATACCTCTATTTTACCTACTTTTTATGCTATTTTACTATGGTTTTCTAATGGTTTTCTAGTGGATTCTTGTGTTAAAAGGTAGTTTTTATGGATTTATAGTGCAAAGAGTCATTTTAGGTAAAAAGGTGCATTATGGAGCAAAACAGGAGATTTGGACTCTAAACCAGTTCAATGCCCCTGCATCAACTTTGGATGGAGCTAGAAAAAGATCTACTCAATGGATTTCATCAAGACCAGTTCCCTGCGTGCTCTGATTGAGTTAACTTTCCAACGCAACTGGAATGGCTTCATTTGGATGAGTAGAAAAGGAGTTATAGCCAAAAGAGTGAAGACTGCTCCAGACGGCCATATCGAGAATCAGCGTCCGAACGCGCAGACCGGCTGGCCGAGGAACGATGTTCCGCGCTCGGCCAAAACTGTGTCCGTCCGACTAAGTCTCGGCCAAAGTCCAATACCGATCGGCCGATCACGCGTCACGACCCGGGAAACAAGCCCGCGGTCGGCCAAGCCACAACCGCCACGCCACAACCGCGCACGACCAAAGCGCGCGAGCCGGGAAAGCCTCGCGGCCGCGCAACTCCCTCACGTACCGGCACGAACGCTCCGTCCGACCCGGGGAACTATGCCTCGCGTCCGGCCGAGACCATCGGCCAATTCCATCCGTCCGACCGCCGGCCGACCGTTACATCATCCGGCCACGACCGTTCCGACTCAGCCCAAGACCCGACCGTCCCGACCGACCGTCCGAACGCCGCGGTCGACCCGAAGCCGTTTTTGAAGCCCAATCCGCACAATTCAAGCCCAAAGCCGGCGCCGACCTAGCTAGATTAGGTTTAGCCGTCTTCTTATACTTAGAGCATTATAAATACTTCTTTTTAGCCTTGTAACTCAAGAAGGAGAGAGACCACAATCTATTTTACATCTTAATAAAGTTTTGCTTGCTTTTACTTTGTTCTTGCTTGTTACTCTTTCTAGAGAGGATTCGAATCTCTGTTCTTATGAATATGAATTCGTTTCCTTCTCTATGTCTGAGTAGTTTACTTGTTAAGTGATAGGAAGTCAAAGGATAGCATTCATGTATGCTTGATGATTGATCACAATTAGGGTTTTACTTATAATCTCCATCTTTGCTTATACTTAATGCTTGTTGTTAATCTGGCCAATTAGCATATGCCTTTAGGTTGATTTGAGCCTCGACAGTGCTGTATCATTCGCCTGAACTAGTATTTGGTGGGCAATCTCTTTTAGACTGCGACAGTTGATCTACTTGTAGGTTGTGAACAATTGATCTTGATCGAACTAATGCTTGATTTAATCACCTAGGGACATACCAAAAGTTTAGCGACTAGGTAGATTAACAAAGGGGTCGGAGCCTCGACAGTGGAATGATCATACCATAGTGTTTCAAGTTCTAGATTAGCACCTAAGTGCGGTAACCCTAATTGATTGATTTCATGCTTCTTGAATTGCTTATCTCAAGACTATCCTATTGCTTAGCCTTTCTCTCCTATTGATCTCACTTTCTTTATTACTTGCATGCTTTACTTTCTCTGCACTCAACCAACTTATACTTTTGCCCTAGCTTGTTCTCAAACTCATAACTTGTAGTGTGCAATCTGGTCCTTGTGTTCGATACCCGTTTACTACTTCTGACCTGTGCACTTGCAGAATCAGGGATAGGAAAGGGGAAGACCTGATCCCGCGATCAATAGTGCGAGTAAATGGAACCGTAGTGCATTGATTTCGATGGAGACGGTAAAAAAAGAAATCTAGCAAACATGGATACTGTGGTAGTTCCTTAAGTGAGCCAAAGTTCGGGCTTCCATGTCGAGAGGGTCCCTGCGGAGGTGAAGGAGAGAAGAGTCGGAGAAGGCGGCTTCTGAAGGAGAAGTCGGTTATAGGAGGAAAAAAGCGAGAGAAAGGCAGGAAAATACCGTCAGCGGGCGGAGGGGTGGAGTCAGCGGTAGAGAGCGAGTGAATAAGGTAGGGCGATGGAAATCTGTGGCGAGATCGGGTCTGACGAGGGGAGGAGGAGAGCTGAGGAAGCGGAACCGGGGGAACTGAGTTTATGTAATACACATCATGGGGCTGAGCTCGAGCACTCCGTGCTAGCTTGTCTGCCTTGTGTTCTTCGTTCTGGGAATGTATGTGAGGGAGAACGCCTGGAACATCCCTCTGCAATGCTCCACTTCTTCAAGCAAGATCGCAAAAGCTGGCCACTCTGCAGGTTTGGACACCATCTTCACCAACTGAGCGCTATCTGTTTGGAAATTCATCCGTCGTTTATTATGGACTAGCATACTTTGCATAGCCCAAACCAATGCCTCCAATTCTGTTTGAAGAGGAGATAAACCCCGCCGTAGGTTGCTAGACCCATCAACAGAGCCCGAATCCGGGTCAAAATTGTACCATCCAAGTCCAGCCCGACTGTCTGTCACTTTCCATGCTCCATCAATCTGACACCACTCTCCCAATGGGACGTGGCCGGAGTTGATGGAGATATTATGGATACTCCGTCTGCTACCGTTTGGGCTGCTACCCATGCCCGGGCTTCCGTTATCGCAGATTCCATTACTCCTGCGGATTTTGATCATCATTTGAGAAAACTTTGTAATTACGAGCTTTCCAAATGAACCAGAGTAACCATGGATACATCAACATGTCATCATTGTCTGGGAGGTTCCAGAATAGATGTGCCATATTTGAATACAGTGCTCCCGTAGGAAAAAACTGGGGAGGCGTAGGTATGGGAGAGAGTGCCCAGGCCTGTCGGGCCGGGGGACACTCAAAGAGCATATGATTGATAGTCTCATCTCCCATACCACATCTCACGCACAGCGGGTCCACACGCATTCCCCGACTACATAAACGTGCGCCAACCGATAAGCATCCGGTAATAATTTGCCAGAGAAAATGTTGGAGTTTTGTGGTGCATTTAACCTTCCAGGATTGCGCTTGCAATCTCCGAATGTCCGGTCCAAAGACTGGTAGTGTCCCCTCATCTGAAAGCTCCTGTAGCACAGTATATCCCGATTTAACCGTATACCGACCCGTTGTTGTATAAAACCAGCCCCAGGTATCGGGTTTATATCCAGTAGCCACTGGTATACCCGATGCGAGTGATTTCCTCACTCTCAAAAAATTGTTGCAATAGTGGTCGATTCCACGTTGAGGTCTGGGAATTAATTAACTGATTCACCGTGAGGTGGGGTAGTAATTAATTCCTTTACAGATAGCTGGCCTCGGGCAAGAATCGGAAATCCAGAGATAGATGAACCTGAACCAACTCTTTTAATAAGTCCTTTGCATACCAGAGGTCGAGCTGAAACGATACTCTGCCATCCATAAGACGGAGAGTAAGAGCGAATTGGATCCAAGGGGGTTGAGTTCCGAAAATATCTCCCCTTGAAAACTTTAGCAAACAGTGAGTCCGGGTTATCCATTAGGCGCCATAACTGTTTTGCGAGTAGCGCCGTGTTAAAATCTTCTATTACCCTAAATCCCAGTCCCCCGTCAGTTTTATGTCGACACAGCTTCCGCCACGCGAGCCAATGCATACCCCGTGTTTGGGAATTTGTGCTCCACCAAAAATTTGCCACCGCACTTGTGAGTTTATTTGTTACTCCCTTTGGTAATCTAAAACATGACATGACATGTGTCGGCATCGCCGAAAGTACAGACTTGACCATTACTTCTTTTCCCCTTTAGATAGAACCTTAGATGTCCAGCCGTTTATCCGCTTCTGCTGTCTGTCGATCAAGAAACTAAAAATCTTTGTTTTGGCACCCCCCAACTCTCTGGGACACCTAAATAGTTACCAACTCCCCCGACCTTATGTATACCTAACATCTGATGAATCTCCGCACGTACCGTTGTCTCCACCGTATGGCCAAATTGGATAGATGATTTATCAAAATTTATTTTTTGGCCTGATGCCCGTTCATAGTTCTGAAGAATTTGTAGTAAAACTGCACTCTCCTCAACCGATGCCTTGCAAAAAAATAAGCTATCATCCGCAAATAGTAAATGTGATACTGGTGGGCTTGCACGAGCCACCTTCAGACCCGTTAGAGATTTAACAGATTCTGCCCGTTTAAGATTTAGATATCAAGACTTCTGTACAGAGAATAAAAATGTAGGGAGATAAAGGATCTCCCTGACGTAGTCCCCTATTCGGAGTTATTTTTCCCCGTGGTTGCCCGTTGATGAGTACTTTATACACAACCGACTTTATGCATTCATGATCCACCCGATCCATCGTTCTCCGAATCCCATCTTCCGCATTGTGGCTTCAACAAATTGCCACTCAACTCGATCATACGCTTTGCTCATATCAGTTTTTACCGCCATATACTTTCCCTTTACAAGACTTGTTTGTCCTTAGGCCATGAAACATTTCTTGTGCTATCAAAATATTGTCCGAGATAGTCTCCCGGGACAAAAGCTGACTGGGTCTCCGAAATTAACTGGATAGTACCGTTTTCAACCTCTCACATAATACTTTAGAAATAATCTTATAGCCCACATTACAGAGACTAATCGGGCGCAGTTCGTCATCCGGGTAGGACGCTCTGTCTTTGGGATTAAGCAGATGTTCGTCATATTTAATCTGTCATCAAAGCTCCCGTTATCAAAAATCATTAATAAGCCCCAAAATATCCGTTTTTGATTAACGGCCATGATTTTTGAAAAAATAAGCCGTCATCCCGTCCGGTCCTGGAGCTTTCTCCGGGTTCATCAGAAACAGAGCCGCCCGCACTTCCTCCTCCGAAGCTGGCGCATTAGCAGTGCATTGTCTGTTCCGTGATCACCGCTGGAATACCTTCAAGTATGTCCGTGAAATCATCGGAAGGTAGTCGTAAATAAATCCGAGAAATATTCAACCGCCACCTTTCTCCATCTCTTTTTCCCCTGTAACCCAGGTATCCGTCTTATCATGTAAACCGACCATCCTGTTTATCGCTCTTCTCTGTTTCGTGGTTGCATGATAAAATTTTGTATTTAAATCCCCATCCTTAAGCCAGAGATTACGGCTTTTTTGTTTCCAGTATTGTTCCTCATCTCGGTAAGCTTCCTTCAATTTTTGTGTAATTTCATCCAGATCTTCCTGGGTTCGAAGATCATCATTTTGAATTTCTTCGAGAGCTTTCTGAAGTCCGCTATTTTTTCCTTTCTAGAAGTCGAGAGCTGAGGAGTTTTGTTTAACATAAAATCACACATAAATAAAAATAAACAGAAATGTTTGAGCGTGCCACGCGTCCATCTCTCCCGTGCTGACGTGTCAGTCAGCTGGAGAGAGATAGGCATCTTTTATATATAAACTATATTATTTGTTTACCGTGCATATAAATATGAATGTTATTCTAAATGTTAATAAGATTGCACTAGTGTTTATACATTAGAGAATGTTATCATATAATTTCCTAATCAAAATAATATTTAAATTACATCTTTTTTTTGTTCAAAATAAGCTTCATTAAGAAAAAAGGTTTAGTCTCCCGAGCCTAAGAAAGCACGGAGAGCAAGTTTTGCAGAGGAGTCCGCCAAACAGTTGGCACCCTTGCTTTGGAGCCTTGATTGATCGGCCGCTTCGTTTTGTCTTGGAAGATCCACCCCATTCCTCCTGCTCGATGTTTACTGTTCCAAGCTCCATCGGTATGGCATAAAACTGCATCTGGGTGAAGTTTTGCTTTGGATCTTACCCCTGGCTTTGGAATTTGAGGTAAATCTAACTGTGCCTCTTTCCATTCTCTTGCTCTCACCACACCTAGATTTAAAGTATCTAGCGCAGAAACGACTCTGTTATTAAAGATTTTGTTGTTCCTGCTCAGCCAAATGCTCCAGAGAATCCACGGGGCTAGTGCTCCGACTTTTACTCCTATTGGCGGAAGAGGGATTAGCGTTTTGACCCCGACGATTCCGATTTTGGTAGATGTGAAGCTTGTTGAGTTTATTTGTTCTTTAAACGGTGCCAATCTCCACACCGATTGGGCAAAAGGCAGTGGAAGAGAAGATGGAGTGTTGATTCTCGATCCCCACAGTGGATACAATTGGACTGGTGAATCATTCCCCGAGTCGCCAGATTTGCTCCCACATGTAGAGCTCCTAGCACTGCTTTCCACATAAAAATTTGGGAATAGCAAAAGAATTTTATGATTTTTTCTTCAACTTGGACTTACTTTAGATTTGAGTATCAAATGTTACACAATACATACGATTTAAGATTTTGTTCATATACACAGGACATGTTGATTGGTTAAAAAAAATTCAATAATCAAACTTATTCTATTTCCAAAATATTTCTGTTTTATGGACTCACACCTTAATTGTTTTTATACCACACATATGTAAATGTATGTTATATTAAATGTAGATAAGATTGCAATATTGTTTATACATTAGAAAATGTTATTATTACATGATTTCCAAAAAAGTAATTTAATTTTAGAGTATGGAATTTCAGAATAGCATAACTATTTTTAGAAAAAAATTCCATCGACTTTCTTTAGATTTAAGAGAGAGAGAGAGAGAGAGAGCATACGTGAAGTAATAATTGAAAGGAGAAACATAAAAAAAGAGTGATAAACACACACAAAACTCGTGACAAAGTAAGTAGTTATGACACTTTCTCCTTCACCTTTTTGAAAACTTTATATCTTCTTTTATTTTCTTAAATTACTTCCTGAGAATTTAAGTAGGACGACGAACTATTTATTAAAACTTGCAGGGTTAATTTATATTTTTTCAAAACTAAAAAAAAAAAAAAACAAGAATGGGTCTCCCTTCTTCTCTGAAATCAAATCTTTTTTTGCTCGTAATGTTTCTGCTTAATAATGTTTTCACCATTACCTCCATGGAGCCATCGAAAGAAGAGGTTGTCCTTTTTGGCGGGAATTTTCCAGCTTTGTATGTCATTGGAGATTCATTAGTTGATCCAGGAAACAATAATTATTTGTTGACTTTAGTCAGAGCGAATTTTCCTCCTTATGGTTCCAATTTTGAAGGTGGCAAAGCTACCGACCGTTTTAGCGATGACAAAAAAATTGCTGATTACATTGGTAAGAACTAAAAACAATTACCAATGACTTACGATCTTAAGTTTTAAAATATATTATACTACTAAACCTATAAAATACCTAAATTAAATTAATTGTTCATGTAAATTGTCTTTGTTTTTTCTTTCTCAATTCAGCTATGTATTATGGACTTCCTCTGGCCCCTGCTTACATGGGTTTATCTAGAAAACAAAAGAACAATATGTCAACTGGTATTAGTTATGCTTCTGCTAGCTGTGGGATTTTTCCTAAGACAGGGAAAAAATTGGTTTGTTTCAGTATTCTAAAAAAAAATCTTTTCTAATTTCGGTTTCTAAATAATTATTTATGATTTTCTTATGATTCTTTGCCTGAACAGGGAAGATGTCTGCCGATGAGTGTGCAAGTCGATCTATTCAATAAAACTATCGAGAATAATTTGAAGAAAAACTTCAAGACACAGTGAGAGCTTAGTAGACACTTGGTTAAATCATTGTATTTGACCGTGATTGGGGTTAACGATTACGCTTTCTCCTTTAACAAGACGGAGCACGATCCAAATGAGTTCGCAAACAGGCTTCTTCATGAGTTTCTAATACAAATCGAGGTAAAAAGTGATTTCCTTGGCCATTTAATTATTTAATTTTGGGTAAGAATGTTAAGAATTTTTTTTGTCGACAGCCTCTGCTTCTAATAATGTTAAGGTCATATAAACTGAATTAAATATATTTGAACAAATAAACCAATCCAAACCAGACATGTATTAGTTTTCCTCTAAATTACTTAGGTTTTCAGAAAAATGTAACCGTGAAAAAGGAAAAAAAAAAAACGAAAACATAAATTTGTTTGAAATCGAATTTACTGATAAGAAAGCAAACTACATCAAAACAGTATTTATCCATTTTTCTTTTCTAAAATCAAAGTCTGGTAGACGAGAAAATATGAACCCAAATGAAACTATCGTAGCGAACATTTCTAGTTCAAAGGATTATAGATCTATAAGTGGATTTCTTTTTTTAGTGTTGATAAATAATTGATTTACTTAATATTTTAAATTTTGTTGCAGAGATTGCATAAGTTAGGAGCGCGTAGGTTCTTCATCAACAACATTAAACCCTTAGGTTGTTACCCAAATATCATTGTTAAGATGGTACCACGTGGAAGCTGCGACCACGATTTAAACCTTGCGATTACCATTTTCAATGACAAGCTTAAAGCAAGCCTATCTGATATGAATCACAGACTCTTCAACACTTCTTTTTTATACTCCGACTACTTCAACTTCATGTTAGAGCTACGTGGACCTTCATTTGATCAAGCTAGTTCGAATCTATTGAACACGACAAGCCCATGTTGTCCTGAGGCTTATGATGGAGGGTTAACATCAGCTACTTGTTTGCCAATTTCAACCGCCTGTAAGGAACCTGACAGGTATATTTTCTTTGATCTGCGCCACCCAACTCAAATAGCAAATTTCATGTATGCGATTAGGTGTTTCGAGGAGAGAAAAATTTGTCGTGTTGTTAAAACTTCTACTGGATTAGTATAGCAGATGTATAATCCAAGAGTTGAATAATCGAATGGCAGAACAGCAAGGAAAGAAAATAAACTCGATAAAAAATAATGCAGAATAATCACAAAAGGCTGAAAGTTAGCCTGATGTTTAGTTGGATTATTCTCTCAAAAATCTTTTCCGGAAACGAGGTCTGCCATATTTCGTCTTCTAGAAACCAAGCTTTTAAATGGTTAAAAAAAACAAGGCTTGGCCGGAGCAAAAACGGAATCAGAAAGCAAAACATGAAAAGCACGTTTTCTCGTAGCATAGTTTTAAGAGAGACGGTTTGCAGCTATTTGTTGTCTAAGCAATTTAGATGAAAAGAGGGCTTATAGAAGAGTATATAAAATCCCACATATACGCAGAATTTTTGTTTTAAAATCTATGAGTATTAAAAACAGAAAAATGATTGTCTTTGCTGAAGAGATGGTTTCTGTTCAAGAAGGGGAGGATACACAATTTGCTAAAGTTTGCTATATGAACAATGGACAAGGAGGATACCATGCTATGTCTATAAGTCCAATCCAGCCATGTCTTACGGAAACACAAATGTAGCCAATCCTCAAGATCAAGTTTACCCTCCATAGCAGCAAACTCGATCGAATCAGCCTCTAGAACAAGGGTATGCTCAGAAGGGCAACTACCAAAGCTCCCAAGGGACTTTCCCTGGACAACAAATGCACATACCACCTGGTTTTCCTCACCAACCACCTCAGCCTGCACCTAACCAAGAGCCTAAGTTGAGAGCCATGTTGAAGCAGCTGCTACAAGCTCAAGCTGATGGTGTTATGGAGACAAGCAAGAAGCTAGCTGATATAAACTCAAAGATTGAGTCCTTGAACACAAGAGTTCAGACCTTGGAGTACCACACTTCTTCTGCTGCTGCTAAACAAGGGCAACTACCTGGAAAGCCTGTTCAGAATCCGAAAGAGCATTGTAAAGTGATCTTCACTCAAGAAGAAGGATTTGATCAAACAAGCTGAAAATGAGAGAGTCATTGAGGAGTTTTGTATGATGCTTAATGATGAAGACATTGTTGTTGCTGATGCTCATTGAGTCCAGTACGTTCAATCTGAAGTGCAAGCTACTCAAATAGCTATTCACACTTCACCAGTTGAGCTTGCACAACAAGCTCGATCGGCAGCTCGATCGAGTCAGATTGTTTCATCAGCTCGATCGAGTCAGACAATCTCTGTTCTGTAACCGGTTTTGCTTGAACCTTACAAGCCAGTTGATCCATCTTCAGGCCACCTACTTAGTCAAGGTCAAAAGCAAGTGTTTCACAAGAGGATCTCAGTGAGATAGGAGTTGAGCTTCCTAGTATGGGAAGTATGAATGAAGCATTTGAACAAATGAAGCTAATTCAAAATGTTATGGACAACAAAGACAAAGTGTCTAACCTTCTGGAGCTTTCTACTACTCAGAACAACCTCATGACCCTCACCCATCTTCTTGCCAAAGCTGGAGGATCAAGGAAAGTTCACACTTCCTTGTAAACTTGGACATTTGGAGCTTGATAATGCCTTAGACGATTCTGGTGCTAGTATCAACCTGATTGATGTACTTGCATTTTGCATAGTTTTAGTACATCTTTTATGCATCTTTTGCATAGTTTTAGCATCATTAGCATCATATCTTGTTCCTTTTCCCTTCTTATGCATTCATTGTAGTTTTAGGTTGCATTTGCATACATGTGCATGTTTGATCCTTAAACAGGTCTTTTTGGAGCACTATGGAGCAACTGGGACGTGAGGAGCAAGGAAGGACATGGTGCATGGACTCAGCTTGACCGCGCATGCTGGAATGAAGAAGGAAGCCGCCTTTGAAGCCAGCTCGACCCACCTACTCGACCAACCGGTCGAGTTCCACAACTCGACCGGCCAAGACAACTCGATCGAGCTGGGAGTCAATGGTCAAACCCGAAAAATGTTGCTTCCCTTTGACTCCCCTTTGACCCTAAACCTAATCTCTTTGTATTTAAAGGCTTGTAGCCACGAAAAAGACAACTCTCTTTAGCTTAGCTTTTCGTTTTGCTTTTCTTTAATTTTGTAATTTACTTTTTGCAAAACCTTAGCCTCTCTTTGTGTTCTTGAGCTCTTGCTCTTGAACCTTAGATCTAGGCTTATCCTTTTGTATTTGCACTTGCTATTTCAATAAAAGTTGTTTAGTTTCATCTCTTCTATCTTTTAATGTCTCTTTCATTGCATTTGGTTATGTATTTCGCAATGTGTAGTGAGTAGTCTTCTTTAGGGTTTAAGATGGGCTAGACTAGAGGATTTTATGCTTAATCTCTCTTGCTTGATGTTCTTAATCTAAAATCTCTCTCTTTTGGACAAAACCTAAGGCAACACAACCACTATCCATGGTGTGCTTGATCATAAGCGATTTTCCTCATGGGAATGAATGGGAAATCGCTTGAAAAGTCCACTAAGAGCTCCAATATGCTTGCTCTCGAAATGGAGTTTATAGGTGTTGGATGGGTTAGTTTGAGAATGATCCTATGCCTCTAAGGCTTGATTCTCACTGGCTAACCCCCTGTTTCTGAGATCTTGCCTTAGATGATAGCTTTCACCTTGGGAAAGGGTTAGCTAGGCTGAGAAGCTCAATACCAAGAGATAGCTTGATACAAGTGGTTAAAGTGCAAGATTGATTAAGTATAGCCTTCCCCTCGTCGCAAGACCCTAATCTTAGTTCCCATAGCTTAAAGTTTGCATCTTTACCGCTTTTCATTCGCATTTCTCTGTTTTTACTTCAACTCGACCCCCAACTCGATCGAGCTCTAATGGCTCTGTTCTAACTCGATCGAGTCTTAGGTCGAGTCGCCTTTAAGCTTTTATTTACTCCTTTCTTTAACTTTCTGCATTGCATTTTCATTTCATTAGGTTGTTAGATTCATCAATCCTTACTGTATTGCTTGACTTCCTTGTGTTTGCATAAATTCATAGAGCAACATCTCACCCATTTAGATTGATAACCTCTTGTACTACACGACTATGATGGTTAAGATGAATTGATTGATTGTGATTGCACCATAGCATCTCATCTTTATTCACCCCTGTTTGCATTCCACCTCATTCATATCATTTCATTTCACTTCATCACACCATAAAATCTTATCATCAATTTGGCGCCGTTGCTATTTGGGATTGTTTACTGTTGCATTTGAGTTTCCAAATCACTTGGACGATCAAGCTATCCCACCCTTGTTACTTGTATTGCTGGGTTTTTTATTTCTTTTGCAGGTGTATGCGAACTCGATCGAGTCGAACAACTGAAGACTTGGTCGAGCTAGATTTCACCACGGGCAGAAAACGAAGTCAGAGGACTCAGAGGGTACTGGCAGAACCAGAGGTGGTAGTTACTGGAGCCATGAACGATCCAAAGGGTAATGGAAACCCTTTGGGTAATGGATTCGGTCGAAGTAGGCAGACTCGACCGATTGGTCTAGGAGATGCTCCAAACCGCCATCAACAAAGGCAAGGAATTGTCCCACCACTTGTCCAGAATCACAACTTTGTGATCAAGTTGGGATGATCAACTTACTGCAGAACAAGATGTTCCATGGGCTATCAAGTGAGACCCCATTGATCACTTGATGAGTTTGATAGGTTGTGTGTTTGACAAAGATCAATGGTGTCTCTGAAGATGCCATGCAGCTGAGACTCTTCCCTATGTCTCTAGCTGACAAGGCTCACCAATGGGAAAAGAGTCTACCACATGGTACCATCACCACTTGGCATGAGTGCAAGAAGGTGTTTCTAGCTAAGTTCTTTTCAACCGGTCGCACCGCCAAGCTAAGGAGAATTATTATTTAATTATTTTAATTATTTTAAAATATGGAAAATTATTATTTAATTATAAGAATTATTTAATAATTTAGAAATGGATTTTTAATTATTAATAATTATTTAATAATTGGAAAATGGTATTTAATAATTATTGGAGCTTATAAATATTATTAAATATCTAGTAAATTGCGTAAATGGCTCGTTGCCTCACTAAGTATTTATTAAATACTTACGCAACTCCATTCCAATGTGTTGCAGGTAAAAGATTGATCGCATAATCAAGGCTAAAGAGGGGGAAGATAGGATGTTTACTGTTTTATTGTTTTGCATTATTTTGCTAAACTTGATTAATTATTATTTGCTTCCGCTGAACTGATTTATTTGTTATTGATATTTATTTATTTAATTTATTTTAAAGGCCTTCGTTAGAATTGATTAGTACTCCCTCCATTTCAAATTAGTTGTCGTTTTGGCAAAATGTATCTGCAAATATTTGGACGTATCTAGACGTGTTTTGCATTGCAGATACGTCCAAATATTTGCAGATACATTTTGCCAAAACGACAACTAATTTGAAACGGAGGGAGTATTTGTTTATAAAAAAAAAAAAAAGGTTGGTTGTTTCAGGCCTCGTCCCACGTCCGGCCGAATCCTTTGACCAATATCATCCGTCCAGCTGAACCCGACGAACGAACGCGAAAACTCTCGGCCACGATCGACCTGACGGTGCCGATAGCCGACCACAACCCGATAGCCGGCCGAACATCCCGACCGACCGTCCGAACGGTCTGGTCGACCCGAAGCCGATTTTGAAGCCCGTTTCACACGTTTCAAGCCCAACTACATGACCGACCTACTAGATATAGGTCTAGCCGCTTTTCTATACTTAGGGCATTATAAATACATCTTTTTAGCCTTGTAACTCAAGAAGGAGAGAGACCACGATTTACTTTACATCTTTAATAAAGTTTTACTTGCTTTTACTTTGTTCTTGCTTGTTCTCCTTCAAAGAGAGGATTTGAATCTTTGTTCTTATGAATATGAATTCGTTTTCCTTCTCTATGTCTGAGTAGTTTACTTGTTAAGTGATAAGAAGTCAAAGGATGACATTCATGTATGCTTGATGATCGATCACATGAATTAGGGTTTTATTTATAATATTCATCTTTGCTTATACTTAATACTTGTTGTTAATCTGGCCAATTAGCATATGATCTAAGGTTGACTTGAGCCTGATGTACTTGCATTTTGCATAGTTTTAGTACATCTTTTATGCATCTTTTGCATAGTTTTAGCATCCATTAGCATCATATCTTGTTCCTTTTCTCTTCTTATGCATTCATAGTAGTTTTAGGTTGCATTTGCATACATATGCATGTTTGGTCCTTTGAAATAGGTCTTTTGGAGCATTCTGGAGCATATGGGACGTGAGGAGCATGGAAGGACTTGGTGCATGGACGCAGCTCAACTGGATACGCAAAGGAAGAAGGAGGAAGCCATCTTGAAGACCAGCTCGACCATCTACTCGACCAACCGGTCGAGTTCCTCAACTCGACCGGCCAAGCTTCAACTCGATCGAGCTGAGAAGTCAAAGTCAAACCCGAAAAATGTTGCTTCCCCCTTGACTTTCCTTTGACCCTAAACCTAAATCCTCTTGTATTTAAAGGCTAAAAGCCACGAAAAAACCACCAAGCTTTAGATTACTTTTGTTTTAGTTTCTTTTTAATTATTGTCTTTTACTTTTTAGAGCTCTAATCCCATCTTTGTGTTCTTGAAGCTCTTGCTTCTTGAATCCTAGATCCTGGATAATCTCTTTTGTATTTGCACTTGCTTATTTCAATAAAAGTTGTTTATCTTTATCTCCTCTTTCATTTGATGTTTATTTCATTGCATTTGCTTGTGTTTACATTCATGTGTAGTGAGTAGTTACCCATTAGGGTTTGAGATGGGATAGATTAGGGGTTTCATATGCTTAATCCTTCTTGCTTATGGTCTTAATCTAGATTCTCTCTCTTTTGGATAAATCTTAAGGCTACATGACCACTACCCCTGGCTTGTATGTCATTAGGCGATTCTCCACATGGAAGTGATGGAAATCGCTGGAAAATATCCACTAAGAGCTCCAATAACTCTTGCTCTCGAAATGGAGTTCAAGGGGTTGGATGGATTAGTTTGGGCAATGATCCTATGGCCTCCAAGGCTTGATTCTCACTGGCTAACCCCCTGTTTCTGAGATCATTCCTTGGTTGATAGCCTCACCTTGGGAAAGGGTTGGCTAGGCATTGAGAAGCCCAATATCAAGAGAAGCCTTGATACAAGGAGTTTTAAGAGCAGATCGATTAAGTGTAGCTTCCCTGATTGCAAAACCCTGTCTTGAACCCTAATTCTCGCATTAGCTTGTTAAAGTCGCTGCCTTTATTGCTTTTTACTTCAACTCGACCCTAAACTCGATCGAGCTCGGTACTCTGTTCCACTCGACTCGAGTCCTTGGTCGAGCTGTTGCTCTACTGCTTTTTTTTTTCTGCATTGCATTTCATTTTTTAGGTTGTTAGTGTTACCCCATATCATTTACTGCTTGCTTGACTTCCTGGTTGTTTCATATTCTCATAGAGTGACAACTTCTCCCATTTTGGATTGATACCCTTTATGCTATAACAACTATCATGGTTAAAGGGAATTGTTGACTGTGTTTGTGTTTGCATCTTACCACCTCATCATATACCACTGTTGCATTCCACCACATCTCATTTCATATCTTTCACACCCACACACAAATCCTATCATCAATTTGGCGCCGTTGCCGATTTGGGATTATTTTGTTGCATTTGAGTTTCAAATACACTTGGACGATCAAGCTATACCACCCCTGTTCTTTGTACTGCTGGGTTTTTGTCTCTTTTTGCAGGTGTATGCGAACTCGATCGAGTCGGTCTACAGAGGACTTGGTCGAGCTAGACTTTACAACGGGTAGAAAGAGGGTTCAGAGGTCACAGAGGGTACAAGAGGAACCTGAGGTGCTTGTTGCTGATACAATGGATGTACCAGAGGGGAATGGAAACCCTTTGGGCAATGGACTCGGTCGAGCTAGGCAAACTCGACCGATTGGTCTAGGAGATGCTCCAAACCGCCATCAACAGAGACAAGGGATTGTTCCACCACCAGTGCAGAACCACAACTTTGAGATCAAGCTGGGAATGATCAACCTTGTTCAGAACAAGATGTTCCATGGATTGCCAAGTGAAGACCCCATTGACCACCTTGATGAGTTTGATAGGCTTTGCGATTTGACAAAGATCAATGGTGTCTCTGAAGATGCCATCAAGCTGAGACTCTTTCCTATGTCTCTAGCTGACAAAGCTCACCAATGGGAGAAGAGCTTGCCCCATGGCACAATCACCACTTGGGATGAATGCAAGAAGGCCTTTCTTGCTAAGTTTTTCTCCACCGGTCGCACAGCCAAGCTTAGGAGCGAGATATCGAGCTTCATCCAGCGAAACAATGAGACATTCGCTGAGGCTTGGGAGAGGTTCAAAGCTACACAAGTCAGTGCCCACACCATGGATTCAACAATGAATCACTACTCTCCACTCTTTATAGAGGATGCTTGCCTAGGTATAGGGAGATGCTGGACACAGCAGCAATGGGAACTTCCTCAACCAGATGTAGATGATGGCTGGCAACTTGTGGAGAACATGCTAACTCCAATGGAAGCTATGGAGAAGAGTATGATCGCACCAATCGGAGCTCGACCCACCACTCGATCGAGTGATGAGAAGTTGAGAAAAGATGTTAAGGCATTGAATGAGAAGTTGGATAAGCTGATCTTAGCTCAGTCCACTATGAAGAAAGTCAACTTTGGGAGGATACACAATTTGCTGAGGTGTGCATGAGCAATGGGCAAGGAGGCTACAACAAAGGATACTATAATTACAAGTCCAACCCTGCCATGTCATACCGAAACACTGATGTTGCTAACCCTCAGGACCAGGTCTATCCTCAACAACAGCAGCTCGATCGAGTCAAGCCCCACAACATGGGTATGGTCAAAAGAACAATTACCAAGGACCCCAAGGGACTTTCCCTGGACAACAAATGAATATACCACCAGGCTTTTGATGTACTTGCATTTTACATAGTTTTAGCACATCTTTTATGCATCTTTTGCATAGTTTTAGCTTCCATTTGCATCATATCTTGTTCCTTTTCTCTTCTTATGCATTCATGTTAGTTTTAGGTTGCATTTGCATACATATGCATGTTTGGTCCTTTGAAATAGGTCTTTTGGAGCATTCTGGAGCATATGGGACATAAGGAGCATGGAGGGACTTGGCACATGGAAGCAGCTCAACTGGATACGCAAAGGAAGAAGGGAGAAGCCATCTTGAAGACCAGCTCGACCGTCTACTCGACCAACCGGTCGAGTTCCTCAACTCGACCGGCCAAGCTTCAACTCGATCGAGCTGGAGTCAAAGTCAAACCCGAAAAATGTTGCTTCCCCCTTGACTTTCCTTTGACCCTAAACCTAATCCTCTTGTATTTAAAGGCTCTAAGCCACGAAAAAACCACCAAGCTTTAGATTATTTTGTTTTAGCTTCTTTTAATTTATTGTCTTTTACTTTTTAGAATCTAATCCCATCTTTGTGTTCTTGAAGCTCTTGCTTCTTGAATCTTAGATCCTGGATAATCTCTTTGTATTTGCACTTGCTTATTTCAATAAAAGTTGTTTAATTTCATCTCCTCTTTCTTATGATGTCTCTTTTATTGCATTTGCTTGTGTTTACATTCATGTGTAGTGAGTAGTTACCCATTAGGGTTTGAGATGGGATAGATTAGAGGTTTCATATGCTTAATCCTTCTAGCTTATGGTCTTAATCTAGATTCTCTCTCTTTTGGATAGATCTTAAGGCTACATGACCACTACCCCTGGCTTGTAAGTCCTTAGGCGACTCCCCACACGAAAGTGATGGCATTCGCTGGAAAAGATCCACTAAGAGCTCCAATATCTCTTGCTCTAGACAATAGAGGTCTAAGGGGTTGGATGGATTAGTTTGGGCAATGATCCTATAGCCTCCAAGGTTTGATTCTCACTGGCTAACCCCCTGTTTCTGAGATCATTCCTTGGTTGATAGCCTCCACCTTGGGAAAGGGTTGGCTAGGCATTGAGAAGCCCAATATCAAGAGAAGCCTTGATACAAGGAGTTTTAAGAGCTAGATTGATTAAGTGTAGATTCCTTTGATTGCAAAACCCTGTCTTGAACCCTAATTCTCTCTTTATCTTGTTAAAGTCGTCACCTTTAGCTTTTTTGTCTCAACTCGTCCCTAAACTCGATCGAGCTGGTACTCTGCCACTCGACTCGAGTCCTTGGTCGAGCTGACTTACTTCACTGCTTTGTTTACTTTTATTGCACTGCATTTCATTTTTAGGTTGTTAGTGTTACTTCAAATCTATAACTGCTTGCTTGACTTTCTGGTTGTTTCATATTCTCATAGAGTGACAAGTTTCCCATTTTGGATTGATAACCTCTTATACTTCAATGACTATGATGGTTAAGAGGAATTGTTGACTGTGTTTGTGTTTGCATCTTACCACCATCATTACCACTGATTGCATTCCACTCATCTCATTTCATTCTTTTCACATCACACACAAAATCCTATCATCAATTTGGCGCCGTTGCCGATTTGGGAATATTTTTGTTGCATTTGAGTTTCAAACACACTTGGACGATCAAGCTATACCACCCCTGTTCTATTGTACTGCTGGGTTTTTGTCTCTTTTTGCAGGTGTATGCGAACTCGATCGAGTCGGTCTACTGAAGACTTGGTCGAGCTAGACATTACAACGGGTAGAAAGAGGGTTCAGAGGTCACAGAGGGTACAAGAGGAACCTGAGGTGCTTGTTGCTGATACAATGGATGTACCAGAGGGGAATGGAAACCCTTTGGGCAATGGACTCGGTCGAGCTAGGCAAACTCGACCGATTGGTCAAGGAGATGCTCCAAACCGCCACCAACAGAGACAAGGGATTGTTCCACCACCAGTGCAGAACCACAACTTTGAGATCAAGCTGGGAATGATCAACCTTGTCCAGAACAAGATGTTCCATGGATTGCCAAGTGAAGACCCCATTGACCACCTTGATGAGTTTGATAGGCTTTGTGATTTGACAAAGATCAATGGTGTCTCTGAAGATGCCATCAAGCTGAGACTCTTTCCTATGTCTCTAGCTGACAAAGCTCACCAATGGGAGAAGAGCTTGCCCCATGGCACAATCACCACTTGGGATGAATGCAAGAAGGCCTTTCTTGCTAAGTTTTTCTCCACCGGTCGCACAGCCAAGCTTAGAGGAGAGATATCCAGCTTCATCCAGCGAAACAATGAGACATTCGCAGAGGCTTGGGAGAGGTTCAAAGGCTACACAAGTCAGTGCCCACACCATGGATTCAACAATGAATCACTACTCTCCACTCTTTATAGAGGATGCTTGCCTAGGTATAGGGAGATGCTAGACACAGCTAGCAATGGGAACTTCCTCAACCAGGATGTAGATGATGGCTGGCAACTTGTGGAGAACATAGCTAACTCAAATGGAAGCTATGGAGAAGAGTATGATCGCACCAACCGGAGCTCGACCCACCACTCGATCGAGTCAGACGAAAAGTTGAGAAAAGATGTTAAGGCATTGAATGAGAAGTTGGATAAGCTGATCCTAGCTCAGTCCACAATGAAGAAAGTCAACTTTGTGTCTGCTGAGGAGATGGAACCAGTCCAAGAAGGGGAGGATACACAATTTGCTGAGGTGTGCTACATGAGCAATGGGCAAGGAGGTTACAACAAAGGATACTATAACTACAAGTCCAACCCTGCCATGTCATACCGCAACACTGATGTTGCTAACCCTCAGGACCAAGTATATCCTCAACAACAAGCAGCTCGATCGAGTCAAGGTGCCACAACATGGGTATGGTCAAAAGAACAATTACCAAGGACCACAAGGCACTTTCCCTGGACAACAAATGAATATCCCACCAGGCTTCCCCCACCAACCGCCCCAGCCTGCACCTTCACAAGAGAATGAGCTCAAGGCAATGCTAAAGCAACTACTTCAAGGGCAAGCTGATGGGGTAGTGGACACAAGCAAGAAGCTAGCTGAAATAAACTCTAAGATCGAGAACCTCAACACAAGGGTTTACTCTCTGGAGAATCATGCTTCTTCTGTTGCTGCTGCTACAAAGCAAGGACAACTACCTGGTAAAGCTATTCAGAACCCCAAGGAACAGTGCAAGGTCATCTTCACTCAAGAAGGACTTGTTGAAGAAGAGGATCAAGAAAGGGTCATTGAAGATTTTTGTTTACTGCTGAATGATGAAGAGATTGTTGCTGCTGAGGCTCCTGGAGTCCAGATTGATCAACCAGAAGTGCATGCACCTACTGTGGCCATTCACACTTCACCAGTTGAGCTCGCACGACAAGCTCGATCGGCAGCTCGATCGAGTCCAACTCTAGCTCGATCGAGTCCGACCTCTTCTGTCCGACAGCCTGTTTTGCTTGATCCTTATCAACCGGTTGCCGCTTCCTCGTCTCGCCTACTTAGTCAAGGTCACAAGGAAGTGATTCACAAGTTCAGAAGAGATCTCAGTGGGATTGGAATTGAGTTGCCTCTATGGATAGCATGAGTGAGGCATTTGATCAAATGCAAATGGTCAAGGATGTTCTAGCCAACAGTGATAAAGTTTCAGAGGTCCTACAAGAGTCTACTCATCAGTTCAACCTGCTTACTTCACCCACCTTCCTACCAAAGGTCAAGGATCAAGGGAAATTCACTCTCCCTTGCACACTTGGGCATCTTGAGATTGACAATGCCTTAGTGGATTCTGGAGCAAGCATCAATCTGATCTCTCTCTCCATGGCAGAGAAGCTAGGCATTGCTGGAGCCTTGCAGCGCCCTACTACTTCAATCATGTTTGGAGATGCAACTTCTAAGTCTCCTCTTGGAGTGTTCAAGAACTATCACTTGAAAATTGGAGAATGCATCATCCAAACTGATCTCACTGTGATGGAAATGGAAGAAGAGAAGGATTTGCCTTGTTATTGGGAACCCCTTTCCTTAGTACAGTTGGCGCTTCAATAGACTTTCACAAGCAAGAAGTGATCCTTCACAAGGTGAATAGTTTGGTGTCATATCGCTTGCAGCCTAGAGGTTCAGACTTTTGTGCCACAATTGACAGTACCAATCTCAGTTCTAAGAGTCATGGAGCTACAAAGGTTGTGAAGGAAAGGGTTGACAAGGAACCAAGAGTTGGGAAGGATAAGGATGAGAGAGGACCAAGGATTGAGAAGCCACGTCTTGAGAGGGCTAGAGTTGAGAAACCACGATCTGATAGGCCAAGAGCTGAGCGACTTGTTCAAGCCCCTTGTGTGCTTGATGAAGAGAGCCTTCAAGCTTTGTTTGATGAGCCACTAGGAAGGGCTCTAAAGAAGGGGAGGATGCAGCCTCTAAGGCAAGACCAGGAGATAAAAGAAAGGATCCACCAGCTCAGGCCCCTTCAGTCAAGCCATCTCAGCTCACAATGACTTTGTTCCCCACCAAGTTTGAAAATGGGAAGATTGAGTACAAGATAAGGTACAAGGGGAGATCAAGGCCATTCTCTAGAGCCAAGGCCTTGGTGACTTCAGAACAGTCCAGGGACCCAACCAAGCTAAAGGAGCTTCTGTCTCAAGTCCTCACTATCACCCTTGATGGTGGGACTAGCTCAACCAATGCCTAAGAAGGTAAAGGTCAAGCTATGGGACCTTAAACAAGCTCACTTGGGAGGAAGTCCCATGTTTATCCTTGTACATACTCTATTTATGCAATTTCTATCTATCTTTATGTTTTTAACCTTTCAATAAGTTAAGTTTAGGTGTCAAAGGAGCCAGCTCGACCGACAGCTCGATCGAGCTAGAAACCAGGGCAACTCGATCGAGCTACACAACTCGACCAAGGTAAGTTTTTGAATTTCAAATTCATAACCGTTTTCTTGGTCAAAGTGGGTCCCACAAGTGATTTTGGTCCCCCACTACCCTAATTGATCAGAGAATCCCTAGCTTCTTGTTCCCTCTTTATTTCATCTTTTAATCTCAACCACACATCTCAAACACTCTCTTCCCCATAACTCGATCGAATCCACTCTCTCTCCCCACAATCTTAAAATTTCTGAAATCATCTCTCTCTCTTCACCACAAGAAAAATCGATTTCTCTCTTTCTCTCTTAAGTTTTTGCGATTTCTGTTCATCTTCTTGTTTTGCTTGGGTTCTAGTTTACTGCTCTTCAATTCCATCATTCAAGCAAGGTATGAACCCTAAAACCCTTATTCCTCATCTCGATTTCCTATTGCTTGTTTCTCTTGATTTTTGATTGCATGTGTCCCTTGTGGACTTGTTCTTGAGTAATTGCTTTCATTTTTCTGCTGTAATCTTGTTGAATTTGCTTCACCTCACCTCTGTTTTGCCATTAAACTTGTTGCATGTGCTTGAAATTGAATTTGAGTTTGGTATTGGTTAAGATGCTATGTTTTCACTAGAATTGCTATTGTTCCATTTACTAGTTGTTCTTGGTTCAATTTGATTGATTAGCATCCTTTCCAGCTCTTAATACTTGAATTAGGTTGGTTATACTCTGTTTTCACCCAACTCGATCGAGTTTGTCACTCGAGTTTTTTGACTCGATCGAGCTGAGTGTCGAGTTGACCAAACCGATCATTACAACTCTAATTCTTTGTAATTTTGATGCATTTCAGGAACAATCTAAGATGTTGAGAGGTGAAGGAAGCAAGCAGCGTTCACAAGGATGGGAGATGATAAGAGGAGCAAGGAGGATACTCAAAACACAAACCAAGGAGGACATAGAAGAGGTCTGAGAGAGGAGGGAGGAAAGGAGAACCAAAAGAGGAATGATCCTTAGCAGTGAGAGCGAAGCAGGAGAGTTTGAGATTGGAGTGAACATCCCACATGAGGAGAATGATGACTCCAAGTGAAGAAGAGGGTGAAGAGATCAATCAAGAGATTGAGGAGAGTGAGCATGAGGGCAATGAGAATGTGCCCATGGAAGAGGAGGAGTCAAGGAAGAGAGGATGAGCTCCCCATGTACCAAGAGCACTATGATGCTCTCTTCTCCATGGACTTCATGGAGACCAAGTACCCACATGTTGACACATGAAGGCCCTTGGAATCTTTGAGATGTGGAGTTGGTCCTCAAGAACATGCACTTGGCCAAGTTCTTCTCTACCACATGGAATCCTACAAGGAGCTCACTTGTGAGTTCTAGCTTCAATGAGGTACCACATGTATGAGAGAAGATAGAGCTGATTTGGACCAAGGATTGGGATGGATCACGTTCTTGGCTAAGGGAGAGAAGAGAATGGTGACCTTTAGGCAGCTGGAGATCTTGTTTGGGTTCAACTATGGAGAGGGAACCAAGTGGAACTTCAAGGAAAAGGAACTCCAAAGGGTTTGGGCTACAATCGCTGATGGAGTGTACTCTTCCTCAAGGTCCAAGGCAGCTCAGATCAGGAGCCCAGTCTTGAGATATGTGCACAAGGCACTTGCCAACACCTTCTTTGCAAGGAAGGCAACCGGGACAATCAACGAGGGGAACTCAAGTTTCTTGACATGGGAATCAAGCCCTTCTCTCACGCACAAGCGATGGCAAGAGGATCAGGGGAGATAGATCTGACACAGGGAACTTGATGCCTTCCTTGACCAGCTCCTCACCTACAAGATCACAGCTTACAACACTAGGCACCAAAGAGGAAGAAAGCTTAGTGTTGGAGGGCTCATCACACCTATCTTGTGTGCTGCTGGAGTGAACCCAACTGATAGAGAGCCTACTGAACCAGGTTGGATGGACATCAAGTTTTGCAAGACCAACCTCCTCATTGAGCACAAGGAGTTGGATGGGAGGTTCCAATTCAAGTTCACACATCCATTGGCTGGACCCTCCAAGCTTCTCCTGCCAACCCAGAGCTCACCACAGTGTAAGGGGTGAGAACATTGATTTCAGACCCCCTGTGTACACATTAGTTGGGCATGAGGATGATTGCGAGAAGAGGAGCCTGAGCTCGATCGAGCTGAGTCGAGCTGAGGTCGAGCTGAGGATCGAGCTGAATATCAGGTCAGGAGCGGATTTGGGTGAGCCTGAGTGCTATTACTTTGAGGAGTATGAGGCTCCAAGGATGAACCCCTCTGTTGTGGCTGCCCACAAGAGGATTGGACTTCTCCAAAAGTTCAACAAATGGCAAGGGAAAGCCATTGAGAAGATGCAAAAGTCCATGGACAAGATGGTGAGCAAGATCAAAAGTTTGGAGAAGAAGGTTTCTGGTTCTTCAAGCAAGAAGAAGTCCAAGGCCCCACTTTCCCTAGGAGTAGTCACTCCTCACCACCCAAGGAGGCTCCCTGCCCAAGAGCCTCACAGAGCCTCTTCTTTCGAGCCAAGGGAAGGAGAAGACAACACGCAGAGAAGGAGGAAGACTTCCAAGGCCAGACGCTCCAGCTCGACCACCGGACTCGATCGAGTCCAAACAGAGGAAACTCAACTCGATCGAGCTGAGGGTCGAGTTGACCTGGAGGAGCCCCAGTTTGAGAATCCGGGATTTGAATACGATCAACCCAGTACCAGGACTTCTCTCAGATGGACCCCTACAACCGCTTCGAGCGAGCACAAGCTCCACCAAGGCCAAGGAAGCCACACACTTTGAAGATGAAGAAGAGAGGAAGAGGAGCCACAAGCTCGATCGAGTGAGCCGAACCCAGTTGAGTGGAGCGCTCCTGATGGCCGTCTCCCATCTCCAGACCACGACCTAGCCTCCCAGTTCTTTGGGGGGCACTGAGGTATCCAAACACCAACCCTTGTATATACCATTTCATATTTTCTTTCATTTGTTCTTTTTTTTCTTGGTTTTGCCCTCTTGAATCTTTCACTGAATTTTTCTCACACAAGGGACTGTGTGATTTAAGTTTGGGGGAGGGTTCAAGAGATGATTTAACCTTGTTTTCTTTGTTCTTAGTTTTTCATTATCTTTTGCATAGAAAAACCAAAAAAATCATAAAATTTTCAAAAAATCCAAAAATATTTTCATCTTTTTGCATTCATATTTGTTAGACTTGTTTAGGATTGCATTTTTCACTTGCATTGTTGATTTGACTTTGAAAACTTGTCCATCTTTTGCGATTTCTTGAGTGCCCTGTTTTTAGATTCTTTTGTGCATTAGGGTGAGATTGATTGAGCAGCAAGAACCATGTTTATCTTGATCATATCACTGCATGCACATCTCATTCAACCATTGCTGTGATTTGATGCATTTCCCTATCTATTTGAACCATAACTTGATCTTTAATTACCAATGCTTGCATTTGATTTCAACTCATGGCTACCACATACATATCTGGACATTCTTTACCTTTCATATCCCTTTGCTTGTCCAGATAGCTGATCTCTATCTTTGAGACAGTTACCACACCTTAAACCTAAGCCTTTTCATTTCAAACCCCATTATTATCTCTTGTGCGAATGTGAGAACCTTTCTTGGCTTTGCTTAGCATAAGGTGTTGTGTTTAAACCGGCAGGGGCAGTAGTTCTAGTTGTCTAGTTCTCTTGGGATTGTTTTCAGGCTAAGTTTGGGGGTGCCAACTCGAGCTCGATCGAGTTGGGTGTAAAAACCAGAAAAGTGGTAAAAGTTGGGAAAAACCCAAAGGAAAAAGAGTTTAGTTAAGTCCAGGGAGTTGGCAGTGTTAAAAAGGGTCTAGTAAAGGTTTGGGAAGTTAAAAAAGGAAAGTAAAAAGGGTTCTAAGTAGAATGAAAAGAAGGCAAAGCCTCAAGTGTCCAAAAAGGAAGAAAAGTTCCCTAAGTGTTTAGAAAATCCCAAACCGCTAGATGTTACCTCAAGAAGCCTCTCCCTAGGAAGTTCTTAAAAGAAAAGTGAGCAAAGCTCCTCAGTTTCAAAGGCGAAATGCCAAAAAGGGTAGTTAGGATTTTGTTCTAAAAAGCTCTAAGTGTTGAACTCGATCGAGTTAGGATTAGGCGGCTCGAGCTGCTGTTCTTGCATCATCTTTGGTTCTAACACTTAGCCTTCTGCCAAAGCAAAGCCACTTTCTTGAGAGATCCCTGTTACTAAACCACCATACAAAAGAGACCCTCTTTGTCTCTTAACCCATAAACCCTTGAAACCAAATGAGTTGATTGATCTTGCATGTTTTTGGTTCACTGTTTTTGCTTAATGAATGTTAAAGGGATTTGCTGATTTGAATGCATTGTTTGAGTGACTGTGAAGTGGGATTGATGTTGATAAGCATGGTTAAATCTTAATGAATATCTCTCACCTTGTTGCATTCTAGAATCTCTAAGTTGGACATTTAGCAAATCGCTTTTGAGGACATGTTTTTAAGTGTTGAATCAGCTTATTTTCAAACCTCATCTCTTTCTTGTTCTATTTGTTTGCTTGAGGGCAAGCAAAGTTCAAGTTTGGGGGTGTTGATGTACTTGCATTTTACATAGTTTTAGCACATCTTTTATGCATCTTTTGCATAGTTTTAGCTTTCATTTGCATCATATCTTGTTCCTTTTCTCTTCTTATGCATTCATGTTAGTTTTAGGTTGCATTTGCATACATATGCATGTTTGGTCCTTTGAAATAGGTCTTTTGGAGCATTCTGGAGCATATGGGACATAAGGAGCATGGAGGGACTTGGCACATGGAAGCAGCTCAACTGGACACGCAAAGGAAGAAGGGAGAAG